CGACCATCAATAATTAAACGAGCCCAATCCACTCGTCAAAATGAGATCATATCGCGCCAGGCAGCAATAAAGCAAGTGGATTCTCGGCTTTGTCGGGATAATTTTTTATTTTTTTGTGTGTGTGGAAGCAAAGCCCCTCCCGACTGGAAATATTGTGCCCCCCTAAAATTGATTTTTTTTAAAAAAATGTAATAGAAGAGAAAAAAATTTATTATTGTATTCATTCTCCTATGATCTAGAGAAGTCTCGCATTAAATCATATCAAATTTCATTTTTGTTCTGGCTTTGCCGTTGTCTTTGTGCTGGCCGTGCTTTTTGTATGTCCTTGACTTACAACAGCTCGTTTAGTGACCGTTCAAAGTTACAACGGTACTGGGGGAAAAAAAGTGACTGACAACCCTTTTCCTCAGTTAAGATCTTGGCAGCATCCTCAGGATTACGCGATCAAAATTTGGGCACTTGACAACTGGCTCATATTTATGACGGTCGTAGTGTCCCGGGGTCAGGTGATCATCAACTACCGTGATTCACTGAATGACTGTGGCAAGAAAAGTGGTAAAAGGGGGCAAAACTGAACAAATGTCTTGCTTAACCACTGAAATGTTGGGGCTCAGTGGTGGTCGTAAGTCGAGGGCTACCTGCAGAGCTCCCAAATATGACTTTTGGCCTGAAAAGAAAACATTGGGCATTCCTGATTTAAGGAACGTGGGTATATATTTTTTCCCTCACAAGTCACTTTCCCAATCTTCTATGCTAATTTTCCTGAATTGAAACGTGGCTTACGATTTCTACAATGCTGTTATAAGTGCTCTTCCAAACCGTGGTTTGTATAAGCATCTCAGTTTCTGTTCAGCTGTGATCAATTACTGTGTTTCCCCCAAAATAAGACCGGGTCTTAATATTGATTTTTGCTCCAAAAGACACATTAGGGCTTATTTTCCGGTTAGGGTCTTATTTTCGGAGAACTACAGTACTAAATGTGTTTGTCTGGCTGACGATCTTAATGGGGGCTTATTTTGGGGTAGGGCTTATATTACGAGCATCCTGAAAAATCATGCTGGGGCTTATTTTCCAGTCAACTCTTATTTTCAGGGAAACAGGGCATGGGTGAAATCCAGCAGGTTCTGACAGGTTCGGGAGAACCGGTAGCGGAAATTTTGAGTAGTTCGGAGAAACCGGCAAATACCACCTCTGGCTGGCCCCAGAGTGGGAGGGGAATGGGGATTTTGCAATATCCTTCCCCCAGGAGTGGGGAGGGAATGGGGATTTTGCAGTATCCTTCCCCTGGAGTGGGGAGGGAATGGGGATTTTGCAATATCCTTCCGCCCAGGAGTAGGGAGGGAATGGGGATTTTGCAATATCCTTCCCCCAGGAGTGGGGAGGGAATGGGGATTTTGCAATATCCTTCCCCTGGAGTGGGAAGGAATGCAGATTCTGCAGTTTCCTTCCCCTAGAGTGGGGAGGGAATGGGGATTTTGCAGTATCCTTCCCCTGGAGTGGGAGGGAATGGGGATTTTGCAATATCCTTCCCCCAGGAGTGGGAGGGAATGGGGATTTTGCAGTATTCTTCCCCTGGAGTGAGGAGGGAATGGGGATTTTGCAGTATCCTCCCCTGGAGTGGGGAGGGAATGGGGATTTTGCAGTATCCTTCCCCTGCCACGCCCACCGAGCCACACCCACAGAACCAGTAGTAAAAAAAATTCGAATTTCATCACTGAAACAGGGTGCGTAACCCTAGTTTGTTATTTTACTCAAGCCACGTCTGAGTAAAATCCAAAGCGGTTCAAGGAAAGGAGAGACAGGGTCCTCGTAGATCGGACGTTCATCCAGGGTAAAACAATCCCTGCCGTTATTAAGTGAATAACCCGGTCATTAAATGAATCCGGCTTCCCCATCGATTTTGCTTATCGGGAGGTCGGCAAAAAAAAAAAAAAAGAGGATCATGTCACCCCGGGACGTTGCGACCGTCGTAAATAAGAACCGGTTGCCATGCATCCGCATCTTGGTCATATGATGCTGTAACCGTCGTAAGTGTGGAAAACGGTCCTAAGTCACTTTTTTCGGTGCCGAGCTGTTGTAATTCGAGGGCTAACTGTGGAGACCAAAGCCGTTGTGATTTTCTGCCAGCCCAAATCCCAGGGATCCATAAACCAAAGAATAACAGAGTTGGAAGGGACCTCGGAGGTCATCTAGTCCAGAAGTCACCAACCTTTCGGACCTCAAGGACCACTAAATTCATAATTTTTAATCCTGCGGACCACTAACACGATTTGCCTAATAACCAGCTGGGTATGTGGGTGTGGCTAGGTGGTCATGTGACTGGGTGGGTGTGGTCAACTCAATGTCACTCACGTGTTTTTTTTTTTGTTTAAAAGTTTTTATTTTATAAACAAACAAACAATACGTAATCGATCATTCACTATATCTTCTGAATACATCTTTTGTATCTTCTTTTTACTCCTCCAATGTTTATCGTATCTTAATACCATCATTTCCTTTATTATAACATTTCCCCCACATTTCTTAGTTCTCTATTAATACATTTATCTATCCTTTAATTTTATTAAAAATTAAACAACAATTTTATCCCCAACAACCTTCAACCCCCACCCCCGACTTCCCAGAGCAAAAACAGGGTGTAACATTAAACAAGCATAAGCTAAAATATACTAACTTACTACAAGATTCAAAACTCCCTCAGATTCTTTAACTCCTCTTTTAAAAATTCTTCATCAGCCTCCCCTTTTAAAATTCTAAATTAAACATTTTAAAACTTTCTTCAAAGCATATCCTTTTAAAAGAAAAGAAAAAAATATATTGTTTTAAGTTAAACCTTTTAACATCTCTTAATACCTTTAATAAGACATTCTTCAAGATATAAGTTTCAAAACTTTTTTTTTCCTTCAAAAGGCTATCCATATAATCTTAAAAATGCTAATAATCCATTAAGTTAAATTATTTCTAACTCTTAAGTTCATTCTTCAAACTGTCAATTTCAAAGCTTTCAGAAAGTTATCGATTAAGTTTAAAGTTAAGCATTTTATTTATTTTATTTTTTTTAATTTGATTTATATGCCGCCCTTCTCCGGAGACTCAGGGCGGCTTACAATGTACTAAGCAATTTTAATACCTCAATAATTTTTTTTAAAAAAGCTATCCATTTTTTGTTAAACATTTTTACTTAAACTTAAAAAATACTAATTTCAGTAAACTTTTCAAATTTATTATTAAAATGTCAGTCACGTTGAGGGGCACCTGGCTGGCCTCTACTCGCCCCTCCCCTCCCAGCCCCTCCTCACTTGCCCACCCGGGCTCCTTAGTGCCCCAACAGGAAGCTTTATTGGAGCTAAGCAACCACCATGAAATAAGAGTTGGCCAAGCAGCTGGCTCAGTTCAAATTGGATCTGGCCAAGAAGGAGGCTTAGCAGAAATACCTCACTGAGGACTAGGAGCATAGGCTTTCCAAGCAGAGCGAAGACCTGCGGGCGTGCAAGGCCAGGTACCGGCCCCTGGAGGCTCAGCGGGCTGAGATGGTCAGCCAGTTCCAGGCCATGAGGCAGTCCCACTGGAACGAGGTCCTCCGGCTCTTTGCCACCAGCGGCGCTTCCCTCCAGCCTTCACCCAAAGCCCCACACCAGAAGGCCGAAGCAGACCCCGAGTCGGAATTTCTGCCCCCCTCTGACCCACAGAAAAAGACCCCGAAGGGGGAGACTCTCGGCAGCAACACAAACGTTCATTGCACGCATCCGTCCCAGGGCCGCAGTTTGAGGACCCCCGATTTAGTGCAATATAAAAAATGCAAATAATTTTTCTGAGGACCACCAAAATTTTCTCGCGGACCACCAGTTGGTGACCGCTGTTCTAGTCCAACCCCCTGTTCAGGCAGGAGACCCTTGTTCTCCTCCAAATAACAGTTGGAGGGGGCCTCGGAGGTCTTCTAGTCCAACCCCTTACCCAGGCCCTATCCTGTGTTTGTCTGTGTGTGCAGGGAGCAAGATCCGAGACGCATCCCCCTTCGGCCGGCAGAACGATTGCAAATGATGGATGTCTTCTGCTTCGGGGTTCTTGGCTGTGGTGGTGGGTGGGTTTGAGTTGTGGGGAAGGGGGCAGATGAAGGCAGGTTGTATGTGTGTCTGGGGGGGAGAGAGAGCATCAGGAAGCTTGTGCCTCCGGGCTCGCCTTGCCAAGATTTGAGCATCGTTCCTCCCCGCTCGCTCGCTCGACTGCCCCGTCGGCCCTCAGTTGGATTAAACGGGAGCGTTGGCCTGTTCCAGTTTGGCAGTTCTCGCCTTCCCTGGAGACTGATAAGAGCCCCTTTAATCCTACGCTTTGGTGTGTTTGTGTGTGTGTGTGATTCCTGGGGGAGGAGGGAGCGGAAGCGATTGCCGTGTGATGTTGCAGCTCGCCGGAGGGGCAGACTCCAACTCTCATCTCGGCTAGCCTGTTTTTATTTTGCATTTTTTTCTCCCCCCGCTCCCCCTCTTCCCGGAGCGTCTGATGTGACGCGTTTGGAAATTTCCAGCCTTAACTGTTTTTAGAGTGTTTCTTGGACCCCCTCGGTGGTCTCCATTCTCACGTTCCCTTTTAGAAATCTGATCAAAAAATGTTTCTATTAGCCTTTTGTGATCCTGCAGGACGCACAACTCCACAACAACAACAGTTCCTTTTCAGCAGTCCCAAGGAGGCTCCACACCAGAGGTGGGCCGGTTTGGACCGGTTCGGGCGTACCGATTGTTCCGACCACCAATTGGGCCCGCCCCGGCGCTATCCCATCCTATATAATCGTGTTTTGTGTGGAAGGCACGCACTCACGTTTTTGGTTCTGGGCGAACCGGTTGTTAACATTATGTGATGCTCCACACCTATTAGCACCACTCAGGTGATCCCTGAAGACACAGACAAACCTCCAAGTCGACTCCCAAGGCAAGCGTGTCGGCTTTCCCATGCGGAATTAAAGGACTTTTTTTGTTTTTCCCTCTCTCCTCCCTCCCTTCCTCCAGGCCTCTCATTGCCAAAAAGAACCCCAAGATCCCCATGTCCAAAATGATGACCATTATGGGAGCCAAGTGGCGGGAATTCAGTGCCAACAACCCCTTCAAAGGATCGACGGCAGCTGTGGCTGCTGCAGCCGCGGCTGCCGCGGCCGCCGTAGCAGAACAAGTCTCGGCTGCCGTGTCGGCCGTGATCCCTTCACCTGAGCCCCAGCACCTGTTGCAGCCCCCGGCTCAGCCGCTTCCCATCCGCAAAGCCAAAACCAAAGAGGGCAAAGGTGAGTGGCGGTCTTTCTCCGGAGGAGGACGGGGCAAAGAACAGAGGGGGGGAGGGACACGAGGAGGAGCGGTTTCTGGCTGGATCGGGTCAGCCGTCCGGTGGACAGAAGCCGCTCGTCACCGATAGGAAAATTGCCAGGCTAAGAAAGAAAAGCCGTGAAGAGAAGAGAATATTTGTGGCTCGGGGTTGAATGAGGTGTCCTTGGTGCTCTCTGAGCTGGGTGGTTTCCTTGCAGGCGTTTTCGTGGGCCAGCTAGGGAGCATCATCAGTGCTAGAAGGGAGTGGAGTTTGCAGAGAAGAAGGGAGAAGGAGGAGGACTTTGGGGCTCTCTGAGCTTGGCGGTTTTCTTACAGACGTTTCATGGACCAGCTAGGGAGCATCATCAGTGGTAGAAGGGAGTGGGGTTTGTGGAGGGAGGAGGAGGAGGAAGATTGTGGGGTCCTTAGTGCTCTCTGAGCTGGGTGGTTTCCTTGCAGCGTTTTTCGTGGGCCAGCTAGGGAGCATCATCAGTGCTAGAGTGGAGTTTGCAGAGAAGAAGGGAGAAGGAGGAGGACTTTGGGGCTCTCTGAGCTTGGCGGTTTCTTACAGACGTTTCATGACCAGCTAGGGAGCATCATCAGTGGTAGAAGGGAGTGGGGTTTGTGGAGAGGAGGAGGAGGACTGTGAGATCCTTGGTGCTCTCTGAGCTTGATGGATTTCTTGCAGACGTTTCACGGACTAACTAGGGAATGTCATCAGTGCTAGAAGTGGGGATTGGAGAGAGAAGGAGGAAACAGAGGAGGAGAAGGACTTTGGGGGTCCTTGGGGGTCTCTGAGCTTGGTCGTTTTCTTGCAGACGTTTCATGACCCAGCTAGGGAACATTGTCATTATTAGAAGAGTGGGAGGATTGCAGAGAGGAGGGTGGAGAGGGATGAAGAGGCTGACAGCTTTGGAGTCCTTGATGCTCCCTGAGCTTTCTTGTCTTCTTACAGATGTTACCTGACCCAACTAGGGAACATCATCCGTGCTAGAAGGGAGGGGTGTGTTTGGAGAGGAGAAGGAGGAGAATTGTGGGGTGCTCTCTGCACTTGGTGGGTTTTCTGCGTAGACAGGGCTGGCCCTCACAATCCACCCATTCGATGTTTCATGACCCGCCTAGACCGTGTCACCAATGCTACAAAAAAGCCAGAACACAGAACTCTCCAACAGCTCACACCCAGATAAGCAGGGATGAACCCCAGACAAACAACGAAGCAGAAAACAATACCCCAATCAAAGAACAAACCAAGAGGCTACTCCCTCCTTTCCTCCCTCCCTCCCTTCCTTCCTTCCTTCCTTCCTTCCTTCCTTCCTTCCTTCCTTCCTCCCTCCCTCCCTCCCCCCTCCCTCCCCCTCCCTCCTCTCCACAAACCCTACTCCCTTCTGGTACTGAGGATGTTCCCTAGTTGAGTGACGAAACCTCTGCAAGAAAACCCACCAAGCTCAAGAGAGCACCAAGGACCCTACAGTTCTCCTCTTCCTCCTCTTCCCCTTCCTTCCTTCCTTCCTTCCTTCCTTCCTTCCTTCCTTTCCTCCTCCCTCCCTCCCTCCCTCCCTCCCCTCCCTCCCTCCTCTCCACAAACCCTACTCCCTTCTGGCACTGAGGATGTTCCCTAGTTGAGTGACGAAACCTCTGCAAGAAAACCACCAAGCTCAAGAGAGCACCAAGGACCCTACAGTTCTCCTCTTCCTCCTCTTCCCCTTCCTTCCTTCCTTCCTTCCTTCCTTCCTTCCTTCCTTCCTTCCTCCCTCCCTCCCTCCCTCCCTCCCTCCCTCCTCCTCTCCACAAACCCTACTCCCTTCTGGTACTGAGGATGTTCCCTAGTTGAGTGACGAAACCTCTGCAAGAAAACCACCAAGCTCAAGAGAGCACCAAGGACCCTACAGTTCTCCTCTTCCTCCTCTTCCCCTTCCTTCCTTCCTTCCTTCCTTCCTTCCTTCCTCCCTCCCTCCCTCCCTCCCTCCCTCCCTCCCTCCCTCCCTCCCTCCTCTCCACAAACCCTACTCCCTTCTGGCACTGAGGATGTTCCCTAGTTGGGTCACAAAACCTCTGCAAGAAAACCACCAAGCTCAGAGACCACCAAGGACCCCACAGTCGTCCTCCCCCTTTCTCCTCCTCCTCTCCACAAACCCCATTCTCTTCTAACACTGATGAGGTTCCCTAGTTGGGTCATGAAACGTTTGCAAGAAAGCCCCCAAGCTCAGAGGGCACCAAGGACCCTACAGTTCTCCTCTTCCTCCTCTTCCTTCCTTCCTTCCTTCCTTCCTTCCTTCCTTCCTTCCTTCCTTCCTTCCTTCCTTCCTCCCTCCCTCCCTCCCTCCCTTTCTCCCTCCCTCCTCTCCAAAAACCCTGCTCCCTTCTGGCACTGAGGATGTTCCCTAGTTGGGTCACAAAACCTCTGCAAGAAAACCACCAAGTTCAAAGAGCTCCAAGGACCCTACAGTTCTCCTCCTCCTCCCTCCTTTCCTTCCTTCCTTCCTTCCTTCCTTCCTTCCTTCCTTCCTTCCTTCCTCCCTCCCTCCCTCCCCCTCCCTCCCTCCCTCCCTCCCTCCTCCCCCTCTCCACAAACCCTACTCCCTTCTGGCACTGAGGATGTTCCCTAGTTGAGTCACGAAACCTCTGCAAGCAAACCACCAAGCTCAGCGAGCACCAAGGACTCCACAAATAGGGAAGCGTGTCTCTATTTCAGGGTTGAGTTAGTTCTAGGATGAAGCTCAAGAGTCAGGGCCTTGCATCCTGGACTTCAAAGCAGAAGGCCTGAGTTTTAAACCAGACTCTCAAAAGTTGAGAGGTCAAGTATGGGATCGTTACCCATATAAAGGGGCCACTTGATTCCTCGGGCAAACTTCGGCTTTCCACGCTTCCGTCGGGCAGGCTCCATCCTTCCCGGAGAACAGAAAAAGGGCCAACTCTGAATGGTCTCTAAACCCCCCTCCCCCAATCACGTTCCCCCGCTGCCCAGGTTTGATTCTTTGCAGACTGGAGAGGACAGCAGCCAAGATACTTGCGTTTTTTTGCAAGCATCTGGCTGGCATGCTATTATGCCGGGCATCTCTTGCCAAGGTTCGCCATCTGCTTGCCGCTTTGGAGCATCCCCGGAAGAACTGGCACGGCTTTTTCCGATCGGGGGGCAAATGTTGACTGTTCACCCAAGAGGTCTTTTCTTTCCCTCCCTCTCCTCCCTCCCTCTCCAAGGACCAGGCCACAAGAAGAGGAGCAAAAGCCCTCGCATCCCCGAGATGAAGAGGAAGGGGAAGGGGAAGAAGATGGCGCCCCTGAAGATCAAGCTAGGCGTGATCGGCGGGAAGCGCAAAAAGAGCAGCTCAGTAAGGCGCGCTTCCAGTTGCGGTTGTGCGTGGAATGTGCCCCCCCCCCCCACGAGCTGAGCTTGGCATTTCTGCACAAAATTAGCCAGGAGGAAGAGCGCCAGTCCACCTCAAAGCAAGCTAATTCCTGTGACCGGTGGCTGTTCTGCGAATTAAGCTCTTTAATTTAAATTTTGCACGCCCTGCGGGTTACCACCAGCCACAGGAGGTGACTCTTAAGCCAGGGGTGACTCCAACCTTGGCAACTTTTAAGGCCAGTGCACTTCAACTCCCCACAGCTGGCGAGGGAATTTTGGCAGTTGGGAGTCTATAGACTTTTGAGTTCTGGGAATAGAAGATTTTGAGTTCAATTCTGGGAGTTGAAGATTTTTGAGTTCAATTCTGGGAGTTGTAGATTTTGAGTTCAATTCTGGGAGCTGAAGATTTTGAGTTCAGTTCTGGGAGTTGAAGACTTGAGTTCAATTCTGGGAGTTGTAGATTTTGAGTTCAATTCTGGGAGTTGTAGATTTTGTGTTCAATTCTGGGAGTTGAAGACTTTTGAATTCAATACTGGGAGTTGTAGATTTTCAGTTCAATTCTGGGAGTTGAAGATTTTGAGTTCAGTTCTGGGAGTTGAATACTTGAGTTCAATTTTGGGAGTTGAAGACTTTTGAATTCAATTCTGGGAGTTGTAGATTTTGAGTTCAATTCTGGGAGTTGTAGATTTTGAGTTCAATTCTGGGAGTTGTAGATTTTGTGTTCAATTCTGGGAGTTGAAGACTTTTGAATTCAATACTGGGAGTTGTAGATTTTCAGTTCAATTCTGGGAGTTGAAGATTTTGAGTTCAGTTCTGGGAGTTGAATACTTGAGTTCAATTCTGGGAGTTGAAGACTTTTGAATTCAATTCTGGGAGTTGTAGATTTTGAGTTCAATTCTGGAGTTGAAGATTTTGAGTTCAGTTCTGGGAGTTGAAGACTTGAGTTCAATTTTGGGAGTTGAAGACTTTTGAATTCAATTCTGGGAGTTGTAGATTTTGAGTTCAATTCTGGGAGTTGTAGATTTTCAGTTCAATTCTGGGAGTTGAAGATTTTGAGTTCAATTCTGGGAGTTGTAGATTTTGAATTCAATTCTGGGAGTTGTAGATTTTGAGTTCAATTCTGGGAGTTGAAGACTTTTGAATTCAATTCTGGGAGTTGTAGATTTTGAGTTCAATTCTGGGAGTTGAAGACTTTTGAATTCAATTCTGGGAGTTGTAGATTTTGAGTTCAATTCTGGGAGCTGAAGACTTTTGAATTCAATTCTGGGAGTTGTAGATTTTGAGTTCAATTCTGGGAGCTGAAGATTTTGAGTTCAGTTCTGGGAGTTGTAGATTTTGAGTTCAATTCTGGGAGCTGAAGATTTTGAGTTCAGTTCTGGGAGTTGTAGATTTTCAGTTCAATTCTGGGAGTTGAAGACTTTTGAATTCAATTCTGGGAGTTGTAGATTTTGAGTTCAATTCTGGGAGTTGAAGACTTTTGAATTCAATTCTGGGAGTTGTAGATTTTGAGTTCAATTCTGGGAGTTGAAGACTTTTGAGTTCAATTCTGGGAGTTGTAGATTTTGAGTTCAATTCTGGGAGCTGAAGATTTTGAGTTCAGTTCTGGGAGTTGTAGATTTTGAGTTCAATTCTGGGAGTTGAAGACTTTTGAATTCAATTCTGGGAGTTGTAGATTTTCAGTTCAATTCTGGGAGTTGAAGACTTTTGAATTCAATTCTGGGAGTTGTAGATTTTTGAGTTCAATTCTGGGAGTTGAAGACTTTTGAATTCAATTCTGGGAGTTGTAGATTTTGAGTTCAGTTCTGGGAGTTGAAGACTTGAGTTCAATTTTGGGAGTTGAAGACTTTTGAATTCAATTCTGGGAGTTGTAGATTTTGAGTTCAATTCTGGAAGTTGAAGACTTTTGAATTCAATTCTGGAGTTGTAGATTTTGTGTTCAATTCTGGGAGTTATAGATTTTGAGTTCAATTCTGGGAGTTGAAGACTTGAGTTCAAATTTGGGAGTTGAAGAGTTTTGAGCAATTCTGGGAGTTGAACGTTCTGCCTTCAATTCCTGAAGTTGAAGACTGTTGAGTTCAATTCTGGAAATTGAAGTCCACAAATCTTAAAATTTACCAAGGTTGGACACCCTTGCTCTGAGCCCCGGCAGCGCCAGTGACCCTTTTGACAATATCATTAGCTTGAGATTCCTTTTAGACACTGGGGCGGCAAATTCAGGTTGCATGGTCGCGACTGCTTGCTTGTTTATCATATCATATCTCCCTGTCCTCCTTTCTTCCCGCTCTCCAACTTTTGCCATTTGACATAGATCTGCACGCAGTTGCCCCAGATCCAACCTCTTGTAGCTGAATCGGGTCGGTCAATTCCGTAGTTGGTCGAACCTCCCGTAGTTGGACGGGGGTCGGGTGGAAAAGCCTCCTCCTTGCTTCTTTCTGCTGGCTTTTTGGGCGCAGCTCCGAAGTTGGGGTACCCCCGCCGCCTTTTCCTTTCCCTTCCCGCCGTTCCTCTTCATCTCGGCCTCTTTGTGGCTTTGTGTTTCCTAATGGAGGGCCGCTCCGGTTATGTACAGCATCTGTTTCAGAGCGACGAGGTAGCAGAACTGGAAGAAGAATCCGACCTGGATAACTCCAGCGTTCACAGTTCTTCCGTGCGTTCGGACAGTTCAGGAAGGGTCAAGAAAGTCAAGCGAGGTCGGCCTGGACGAAAGAAGAAAAAAGGTGAGATGAATGTTATAACAGGGGACGCGGTGGCTCAGGGGCTAAGACGCTGAGCTCGTCGATCGAAAGGTCGGCAGTTCGGCGGTTCGAATCCCTAGCGCCGCGTCACGGGGGAGCTCCCGTGACTTGTCCCAGCTTCTGCCAACCTAGCAGTTCGAAAGCAAGTAAAAAAGGCAAGTAGAAAAAATAGGGACCACCTTTGGTGGGAAGGGAACAGCGTTCTGTGCACCTTTGGCGTTGAGTCATGCCGGCCACATGACCACGGAGACGTCTTCGGACAGCGCTGGCTCTTCGGCTTTGAAACGGAGATGAGCAGCGCCCCCTAGAGTCGGGAACGACTAGCACATATGTGCAAGGGGAACCTTTACCTTTAAGGTTATCACCCGGGCGGTAGATGTAGGAAAGCCTTCTCTGTAGCTAAGGAGAAGGGTACCTTATTAACTTCTCAGTTTGTAGAGATTCTCAGTCATCTAGGTCAGGGGTCCCCAACCTTTCGGACCTCAGGGACCACTAAATTCATAATTTTAAATCCCGTGGACCACTAATACGATCTACTTAATGGGTGGGTGTGGCTAGGTGGTCATGTGACTGGGTGGGCATGGCCAACTTGATGACACTCATGTCGAGGGGCACTTTGCCGGCCTCTACTCGCCCCTCCCCTCCTAGCCACTCCTCACCTGCCCGCCCGGGCTCCTTAGGGCCCCAATAGGAAGCAGTTGTTGGAGCTAAGCAGCCACCACGAGAAAGAGTTGGCAAAACAGCTGGCTCAGTTCAAATTGGATCTGACCGAGAAGGAGGATCAGCAGAAGCACCTCACTGAGGACTAGGAGCATAGGCTTTCCAAGCAGAGGGAAGACCTGCGGGAGTGCAAGGCCAGGTACCAGCGCCTGGAGGCTCAGCGGGATGAGGTGATCAGCCAGTTCCAGGCCATGAGGCAGTCCCACTGGAACGAGGTCCTCTGGCTCTTTGCCACCAGCGGCGCTTCCCTCCAGCCTTCACCCAAAGCCCCACACCAGAAGGCCGAAGCAGACCCCGATTTGGAATTTCTGCCCCCCTCTGACCCACAGAAAAAGACCCCGAAGGGGGAGAACTCTCGGCAGCAACACAAACGTTCATTGCACGTATCCGTCCCAGGGGCCGTAGTTAGTTAGTTAGTTAGTTAGTTAGTTAGTTTGTTTGTTTGTTTGTTAAGCTTATATGCCGCCCTCTCTCTCCGGAAAGGACTCAGGGTGGCTCACAGCAATAAAAACAGATAAAATCAATATTAAGTGTTAAAAACCATTAAAAAAGCCTTGGTAGTACAGTGGTCTAAGGCACCCTGTTATTAAGCTGGTTATTAAGACCAGCTGCCTGCAATTACTGCAGGTTCGAATCTCGCCAAGGCTCAAGGTTGACTCAGCCTTCCATCCTTTCTAAGGTAGGTTAAATGAGGACCCGGATTGTGGGGGCAATAAGCTGACTTTGTATAAATATACAAAAGGATGAAGGCTATTGCTTAGCGCATTGTAAGCCGCCCTGAGTCTCCGGAGAAGGGCGGCATATAAATCAAATTTTTTAAAAAAAAAAGAAAACTCCCCTAAAAACCTCTTCAGTCCAATCCGGCCTGGCGAAATAACCACGTCTTACGGTCGCGGCGGAAAGAGCGCAGGTCAGGGGCCACCCGGAGCTCCAGGGGGAGTTGATTCCATCAGGTAGGTGCGCCCACAGAGAAAGCCCGTTCCCTAGGAGTCGCCAGACGACACTGCCTGCCGACGGCACTCCAAGGAGGCCCTCCCTGTGGGAACGCACCGGGCGATGTGGGGGCTGTCGCTGGCCGCAGATGGTCCGTCAGGTACCCCGGGCCTAAGACATATAGGGCTTTATAGGTAATAACCGGCACCTTGAATCTCACCCAGAGGGCAACCGGTAGCCAGTGCAGCTCATGCAGGAGGGTGTAACATGAGAGTGTCGGGACACTCCCATCATTACCCGCGCGGCCGCATTCTGCACCACTGAAGCCTCCGAGCGGTCTTCACAGGCAGCCCCATGTAGAGAGCGTTGCAGTAGTCAATCCGGGAGGATTGACTATTTACGGGACCGCCTACTACCACAAAGCAGCCTCCCACCGGCCGGTACGCTGTCATAGAGAGGGGCTCCTCCAGGTGCCGTCAGCTAAATAATGTCGATTGGCAGCCCCCAGGGGGAGGGCCTTCTCTGTGGGGGCACCTACCATCTGGAACGAGCTCCCCCCGGAGATACGGAGGATTCCGGATCTACGCACTTTCCCCCCCGTGCTCTTAAGATTCTCCTGGCCTAATTTTCTCCCCTTTCTTTCAAATTTCAAATTTTTTAAACTGAAATTTTAATTTGTTTTTAAATTATTGGGGAATTTTAATTGTCTTGGGCGAAATTATTCAATTTGGTTTTAATTATGTTTTTTAACTTTTGTATTTATGTGTTTTATTTTGTGCCTGGTTCACCGCCCTGAGTCCTTTGGGAGTAGGGCAGTATACAAATCTAATAAGAATAAGGAGCCCTGATTTAGTGCAATATAAAAAAATGCAAATAATTTTTCTGCAGACCACCACCAAATTTTCTCATGGACCACCAGTGGTCCACGGACCACCAGTTGGTGACCGCTGATCTCGGTCATGATTGTCCCAAATGTGCTTTTTTTTTCAGGAGGCAACTGGACTTTCTGGTTTTTTTCTTGGATGAGAAGCGAAACGTCTTCAAAGAAAAAAAACAAAGTCCAGTTGCCTCCTGAAAAAAAAAACACATTTGGGACAACCATGACCTGGGTGGCTGAGAATCTCGGCTCTTATCTTTCATCCGGTCCGACGGGCGACAATAAGAACCCAAAACGAGCCGGGGCTCGACAGAGAATCTCTACAGACTTTTTAGCGATATAATTTGGGGACGAAGCAAAGGATGCTCATCCCAAAAGGAAGGTGCGGAATGGGTTTCCAGAGGGGGGAAAAAATTGTAGACTACAGGAACCAATTTGCACCGCTCAGGTGACCCTGGGACACAGGTAAACCGCCAAGTGCTTCAAGGACCCTCTGAAAGGATGCAAATGACTAGGGGAGCACCATCGACCGATGGAACAGAAGTTGCCTTCGGAAGTAGCGGGAGCTTCATCCCTGGAGGCTTTCAAGAAGAGACTGGGCTGCCGTCTGTCAGAAATGGTGTGGGGACGTGATGGCAAACCTGTGGCCGTGCGAGCGTTGCCCTAGCTCAGGCTCCAGTGCTCATGTGCCCGCCGGCCAGCTGATTTTTGGGCCTTCCGGGCCCACTGGAAGTCGGGAAAACGGGCCGTTTCTGGCCTCCGGGGTGGTGGGAAGGCCGCTTTCGCCCTCAAGCTCCTAGAAAGCCTCTGGGACCTGGGAGGGCAAAAAAACGAGATTCCCAGTCCCACTGGAAGTCGGGAAATGGGCTGTTTCTGGCCTCCGGGGGGCAACCAGGAGGCTAGGGAAGGCTGTTTTTTTTGCCCTCCCCAGGCTCCAAGAAAGACTCTGGGGCCTGGGGAGGGCGAAAAACGGGATTTTCAGTCCCACTGGAAGTCGGGAAATGGACTGTTTCCGGCCTCCGGAGGGCCTCCAGGGGGATGGGGAAGGCCGTTTTTGCCCTCCCCAGGCTCCAAGGAAGACTCTGGAGTCTGGGGAGGGCGAAAAAAACGGGCCTTACCGGGCCCACCATGCCATCGTGTGCCAAAAACGGGGGGAGTGGTACATTGAATTATGGGTGTGGGCAGGCGCGCGTACCCCCCCTCTCACTCCCCCCGTTTTTGGCACGCGACAGCAAAGAGGTTAGCCATCCCTGGTGTAGGATCTCCTGCTTGGACAGGGAGGGGTTGGACAAGATCCCTTCCAACTCTGTTATTCTGTTACTTCATTGCTAAAAGCCTACTCACAGGAATCGTCTCCACTTCGCACCCGCCAGGCGCTAGATAAAGATCCAAGGGAATTCTTATTTCCCTTGTGGCCGCGTAGGGATTCTGGGCTGAACCCTCTTTTGACTCCGTCCCCCCTTCGTCTGCCACTCCTGCTCCTACATCACGGGGGTCCGGTTAGGTTCAGCAGTTCAAGCCGACGACTTTATTACGTTCCCCGCCAATAATACAGGAATCGGACCTGCAGCCTGAAGTGAACCAAACCCCCATTATGGTTTAGCGCTGGGAACGTAACGCCATTCAGACCGTTGGCCCTTTCCCCCCATTTCTATGCGCCGACCAGTTGGGTGCGCACGGCTGCAGGACGTTCAGCCCCTCGGCACGGTCCTGAGCGGCTACACGACGTGGGAAGGCTGCGAGGGTGTCAAACTCAATTTCATTGAGGGCCGCATCAGGGTTGTGTTTGACCTCGGAGGGCCGGGGTGGGTGTGGCCGGGGCGTGGGCATGGCAGCCGTGGCACAGGACTCATGTCGGGGGCACCTGTGGTGGCCAAGTGCTAATGTAGGACTTCTCTGAGACTCTCCCTCACTCTCATTATAATCATCCTTCCTTCCTTCCTCCCTTCCTTGTTTCCTTCCTCCCTTCCTTCCTTTCAGTCCTTCCTTCTTTTCAGTCCTTCCTCCCTCTTTCCTCCCTCCCTCCCTCCCTTCCTCTCAGTCCCTTCCTTCCTTTCAGTCTTTCCTTCCTTCCTTCTTTTCAGTCCTCCCTTCCTCTCAGTCCTTTCTTCCTTTCAGTCCTTCCTTCCTTCCTTCCTTCCTTCCTTCCTTCCTTTCAGTCCTTCCTTCTTTTCAGTCCTTCCTCCCTCTTTCTCCCTCCCTCCCTCCCTTCCTTTCAGTCCTTCCTTCCTTTTTTTCAGTCCTCCCTTCCTCTCAGTCTTCCTTCCTTCCTTTCAGTCTTTCCTCCCTCCCTCCTTCCTCTCAGTCCTTCCTTCCTCCCTCGCTTCCTCTCAGTCCTTCCTTCCTTCCTTCCTTCCTTCCTTCCTTCCTTCCTTCCTTCCTTTCCTTCCTTCCTTCCTTCCCATCCATCCATCTTTGTCTTTCTTTCTCTTTCCCTTTCCCTTTCCTGTCCCTTCTTGCATGCTCAAATGCAAAAGGGGAAACCTTTGGTTTTTTGTAGTTTGTTTTGCTAGCCCTCTGCCAGTGAAAACAGAGCCCGGGGGGACATGCACGCCACCCCCCCCAGCTCCATTTTCACTGGCAGAGGCCCCACGGGCCGGTCCTTCGCTGTTTCCAGGCCGTCCCCGCAGGCCTTGAGTTTGACACCCTGGTCTACATGTCTCGGGACGCCAGGGAGACCCTCACTCTTTTTCCTTTCTCTCTCTCTCTCCCCTCCCCCCCCCGGTTTGGCAGTTGCCGGTGAAGAAGAGGCAGACGGCTACGAGACCGACCACCAAGACTATTGTGAGGTGTGTCAGCAGGGCGGGGAGATCATCCTGTGCGACTCCTGTCCCAGAGCTTATCACCTGGTGTGCCTGGATCCGGAGCTAGACAAGGCCCCCCAGGGCAAATGGAGCTGCCCTCACTGCGTAAGCCACTCACCTTTCTTCCTTGCCTCTCTGCTGCACACCGGCGACCTTCCCAGTAGGGCCCCCACCCCTTCTCTCGCCACCCCCCCGGTTGAACATGGGGCATCCAGCCGTCCTTCCCTGCTTTGCCGAGATGATGCATCCACCAACCCTCTGGGAAATTCGGATTCTCACTCCCCCACCCCCCCCCCCACCCCCAATGAACCTAATGAATTCACCCCGAGTGGGTCTGGCTGCAAAGCATACGTGCGGCAGGTCCCTTTGGAAAGATGGGGGTGGTGGGTCAGGGAAACGGGGGTGGGGTGGGGGCAGGAGTGAAATCTAAAAATTTTTACTACCGGTTCTGTGGGCGTGGCTTGGTGGGGGTAATGTGACTGGGTGGGCGTGGCCAATTTTTTTTTTTTTTTAACTTTTAAAACCATTTTTTCTACGAGGTTGAAAAAAAAATGCTTTCAAAAGGCTCTGGCGATCCTGATGGGCAGAGACTTTTTTTTCCTTTTAAACGCCTCTGACGATCAGGCAACTCCGCTTGGATCGTCAGAGGCGTTTAAAATAAAAAAAAAGGTTTTTTTTTTTCCTTTTAAAAGCCTCTGACGATCCAAGCGGAGTTGCCTGATCGTCAGAGGCATTTAAAAGGGAAAAAAAGCCTCTGATGATCGCGCGGCTCTCAGCTGGGATCTTCAGAGGCTTTTAAAAGCATTTTTTTTCTACAACCTCAAAATGCTTTTAAAAAGCCTCTGAAGATCCCAGCTGAGCCGCACGATCATCAGAGGCTTTTTTTTTTTTTTTACTTTTAAAAGCATTTTTTCTGCTGAAGAGGTTGTAGAAAAAATGCTTTTAAAAGTAAAAAAAAAAAGCCTCTGATGATTGCGCAGCTCAGCCGGGCAATGGGGGGGGCAGGGATTTTTGCTACTGGTTCTCCGAACCACCCGCCTCCATCGCTACCGATCGGGTGATCCGGTCCAAACCGGGAGCATTTCACCCCTGGGTGGGGAGACTGCTGTGTGCACAGGGACAAGGAGACAGGCTGGGGTTTAAGGAAGGACTTGGGCTGCTCAGGTGCCTCACCTCACCTTTGGGTTGGTCCTCCTAGCAAGGGGTTGGACTAGAAGACCTCCAAAGTCCCTTCCAACTCTGTTATTCTGGTTATTTTCTAATCCCAGATCAATTAACCGGTGGAACAACTCGCCACCAGAATTTGTGGGTGCTCCATCACTGGAGGTTTTTAAGAAGAGACTGGACATCCATTTGTCTGACATGTTATAGGGTCTCCTGCCTGAGCAAGGGGGTGGACTAGAAGACCTCCGAGGTCCCTTCCAGTGGTGTTGTTCTGTTTTATTTCTGCACTCCAAAGGCTAAGAATCAGCTCTCTAGAACAGCATGGGTAGTCCTTGACTTACAACAGCTCATTTAGTGACCGTTCGAGGTTACGACGCCGCTGAGAAAAAGTGACTCCCGGCTGTTTTTTCCGTACTCACGGCCGTTGCGGCATCCCCGCGGTCCCGTGATCCAAAAAACCCCTGGACACTTGGTAAACCGATTTGTATTTACGACTGTCATGTGTGTGTGTGTGACGTGATACCCCTTTTGGCGACCTTCTGACCAGCGAAGTCAGAAGGGAGAAAGCCAGCGATTCACTTAACAACCGTGGCCAGAAAGATCGTAAAACTTGGGACGAAGCTCCCTTCATCTTCGCTGCCTTGCTTTGCTTTGCGGGCGATGGAAATTACAGGCTGGGATGGAGGTTGTAAATTGAGGACTACCTGTAAACACGGAGAGTCGTCATGCTGAGGAATGTGCAAAGATCCGGAACTGGATCTCTTCACCGAATCCTAAATTCTAGCAAGCGATTCTAGACACACACACACCAATGCTTAAACTCCCACATCCCAACTCCTTTCTGCATCAGCAGGGGGCTGGACTAGATGACCTCCAAAGTCCCTTCCAACTCTTGTGTTACTGTGACTGCCTGTGGTTACCGGGAGACATTCTGGCTTTGCTTCCTTTTTCGGACTCCCCAGCCGTGCTCTGCGCTGACCCCTCCTTCATAATCCAGCTCTCCTCTTTTTTCTTCTTTTTTTTCTTTTTTTCTTTTTCTTGTGTGTGTATGTGGGTGTCGTATCCCTGGTTTACAGGAGAAAGAAGGGGTGCAGTGGAGCCGAAGGAGGAGGAGGACGAATACGAAGGCGAGCTGGACGAGAAGGAAGAGGAGGACGACCACATGGAATACTGCCGCGTCTGTAAGGACGGCGGGGAGCTCCTGTGCTGTGACGCCTGCATCTCCTCCTATCACATCCACTGCCTCAACCCGCCTCTCCCGGAGATCCCCAACGGGGAGTGGCTTTGTCCCCGCTGCACGGTGAGGGCGCTGGGGAAGGACTGTGGGTGAGTGGGATGACCAGGGAGAGTGGGGGGTTCCTCACCCGCTATCTTGAAATACATATGCGTCGAGTGGGACGCAGAAGGAGGGCCTACTCTGTGGTGGCTCCCTCTCTGTTATTTGAGAGAGTTCATTTTTCCCTACTTAACATCCACCCAACCCAGCAGAGCAGGGAGGCAGGGATGTTGGGGGGTCCCTTCTCTTGAGGAGGTCCCTCTGGTGGGACCGTGGGTGAAATGTAAAAATTTGTTACTGCCAGTTCTGCGGGCGGGGCTTGGTGTGGTGGTGGTGAGGGTGTAATGTGACTGGGTGGGGCGTGGCCAACTTTTTTTTTTTACTTTTAAAAGCATTTTTTCTAAAATTCTTTTAAAAGCCTCTGACGATCCCAGCTGAGTTGCCTGATCGTCAGAGGCTTTTTTTTTTTTCTTTAAAAGCCGGATCGTCAGAGGCTTTTCTTTTTTTCTTTTTTCTTTCTTTTTTTTTTTTTTTTTTTTTGGCTTTTAAAAGAAAAAACAGTATCTGACGATCCGGCAACTCAGCTGGGATCGTCAGAGGCTTTTAAAAGCTTTTTTTTTTTTCCTACAGCCTCTTCGACTGAAGAGGTTGTAAAAAAAAAATGCTTTTTAAAAGCCTCTGACGATCCCAGCCGAGCCGCGCGATCATCAGAGCTTTTTTAAAAAAAAAACTTTTAAAAGCATTTTTTCTTTGGCCGAAGGAAAAATGCTTTTAAAAGTAAAGAAAAAAAAAAGCCTCTGATGATCGCGCAGCTCAGCTGGGCATGGGGAGGTCGGCAGGGATTTTTGCTACCGATTCTCCGAACCACCCGCCGTCATTGCTACCGGATCGGGCGATCCGTTCCGTACCAGGAGCATTTCAACCCTGGGTGGGACCCAGGAGAAGGGCCTTCTCTGTTGTGGCTCTCCCTCCCTGTTACAGATAGTCCTCAATTTACAAAAGTCCATTTAGCGACCGTTCGAAGTTACAATGCATCCCAAAAAGAAAGGAACTTAGGACCGTTTTTTGACCCCTTACAACCGCTGCCCGCATCCCGCGATGACGTGGTTTACATTCGGATACTTGACAACTGATTCACAATGCGTGACGGTCGCAGCGTCTTGGAGTCACGCGATTCCTCTTTGGCGACCTTCCGAAGCCGGCGGGGGCGGATCCAGATTCACCAAACAAACACCCCCCCCCGTGACTCATTTAAGGGCGATGGTCGTCAGTGTGAAAACGGGTCCTCAAAAAAATCCCTTTTCTTTCCCCCCCCCAGTGCCGTTGTCACTTTTGTTCACTAAATGAACTTTCGTAAGTGAAGGATTATCTCCGAGAGATAAGCGCCCCGATTTCTGACCGTCCCTTCTCCCTCTTCGCAGTGCCCCATGCTAAAAGGCCGGGTCCAGAAGATTCTCCACTGGCGATGGGCGAGCCCCCGACGCCGGTTGCGATCCCCCTGCCCTCCGACGGCAACCCGGACGACCCGCCCCCAAAGTTGCTCCAGGGACGTTCGGAGCGGGAATTCTTCGTCAAATGGGTCGGCCTCTCTTACTGGCATTGCTCCTGGATCAAGGAATTGCAGGTAGTACCCCTCTGGCATGCCGGGCAAAAGGCAGGGAGGAAGGGATGGGGGCATGCAGAGGTCTCAAAGGGGGCTGAATGTAGGGCCAGCCCGGTCTCCGCGGAGCTCGGAGGCTTTGAAACTGGGAGCTTTGCGTTGTATTTGTTTTCTCAATGGGCCTTTTGGGGATATACGACGGTCTTTACCCGCCGAACACACATTTGATTGACCGCTGGACGAAAAATGAAAGGGAGAATTTGTAGGTCAGGGTTTAAAAAGTGGAATTGGAGGAGGAGGAGGAGGACTGGATGGTCCTCGGTGGTCTCTGAGCTTGGGGGGGGGGGTTTCTCGCAGACGTTTCATGACCCAACTAGGGAACATCATCCGTGCTGGGAGGGAGTGGGGGTTTGCTCTCTGTTTCCATACCGTGGCATGCCCTGTCTGTGTTGGTGGGGCTGTCTTGTTTTCTTCCCGGTAATTCCTTAATTAGGCCTTGTGACTGTTTGTTTGTCTGTGTTGGTCGCTCTTTGATTGGGAAATTGTTTACTTCTTGATTGTTGGTCTAATATTAATCTTGGGTTAATCATTGCTTCTCTGGTGTTGATTGCTGGCAAGGAGGCGTTTTGTCTGTTTGTTTCCTAAAGGGAACCAGCTACCAACTCAGACAAACTATCAGACAGTGGTGAGAGCAAGTCCCGCTCCCTTCTAGCACTGATGATGTTCCCTAGTTGGGTGATGAAACGTCTGCAAGAAAACTATCCAGCTCAGAGAGCACCAAGGACCCCACAGTCCTCCCTCCTCCTCCTCCTCCCTCCTCCTCCTCCTCCTCCTCCTCCTCCTCCTCCTCCTCCTCCCTTCTGGCACTGATGATATTCCCTAGCTGGTCACGAAACATCTGCAAGAAAACCCAGAGAGCACCCAGAACTCCACAGTCTTCCTCTTCCTCCTCTACCTTTTCCTCTTCCTGCTCCTCCTTTTCACAAATCCCCCTTCCTTCTAGCACTGATGATGTTCCTTAGTTGGGTCATGAAACGTCTTCAAGAAAACAACGCAGCTCAGAGAGCACCAAGGACCCCACAGTTCCCCTCCTCCTCCTCCTCTTCTTTTTCTCCTCCTCTTTCCTCCTCCCTTCCTCCTCCTCCTCCTCCTCTCCTCCCTCCTCCTCCTCCTCCTCCCCTCCTCCTCCTCCTCCTCCTCCTCCTCCTCTCCTCCCTCCTCCTCCTCCTCCTCCTCTTCTTCTTCTTCTTCCTTCTTCTTCTTCTTCTTCTTCCTTCTTCTTCTTCTTCTTCTTCTTCTTCTTCTTCTCCTTCCTCCTTCTCCCTTCTTCCTCCCCTCCCCCCCCCGTCACTCCCTTCTAGCAGTGTTCATGTCCCCTAGATAGGTCTTGAAATGTCTGTCAGGAAACACCCCCCCCCCCCCAAGTTCAGAGGGCACCAAGAACTCCACAGTCTTCCTCCTCCTCCTTCCTTCCTCTCCTGCTTCCTCCTTTTCACAAACCCCACTTCCTTTCAGCACTGATGGTGTTACCTAGTTGGGTCATGAAACATCTTCAAGAAAACAACGCAGCTCAGAGAGCACCAAGGACCCTACAGTCCTCCTCCTCCTCCTCCTCCTCCTCCTCCTCCCCTCCTCCTCCTCCTCTTCTTTCTCTCTTTCTTCTTTCTTCCTTCTTCTTTCTTCTTCTTCCCTCCTTCTTTCTTTCTTTTCTTCTCTTCTTCTTCTTGCTTCTTCTTTTTTCTTCTTCTTCTTCTTCTTCTTCTTCTTCCTTCTTCTTCTTCTCTTCTTCTTCTTCTTCTTCTTCTTCTTTCTCCCCCCTCCTCCTCCTCCCCTCCTCCTCCTCTTCTTCTTCTTCTTCTTCTTCTCCTCCTTCTTCTTTTTTTTCTTCTCCTTTTCTCCTTCTCCTTCTCCTTCTCCTTCCTCCTTCTTTCTCTTCTCCTCCTCCTCCTCCTCCTCCTCCTCCTCCTCCTCCTCCTCCTCCTCCTCCTTCTTCTTCTTCTTTCCTTCTCCTTCTCCTTCTCCTTCTTCTTCTCTCCTCTCCTTCTCTTCTTCCTCCCCCCCCCCCCCGGTCACTCCCTTCTAGCTATGATCATGTCCCCTAGTTAGGTCTTGAAACGTCCACAAGGAAATCCACCAATCACAGAGGGCACCAAGGACCCCACCACAAGTATAACCTAAAAAGTGAATCGTTGCCCATGAAGGTTTGTTGCTAAATCCAGACATTCCTCCATCAGCTGAAATTGGCACTTTGCAACAAGTGACGAGCGGGGCTTGTCATCTCCATCGTAGACCCTGTGGCAGTCCCAGCCTCTTGCCTCTCCCTCTTTTTTTTTACAAATGAGTTACTAAAGGAAGCCACGTGCCCGCAGATCAGATGACCTCATTTCCTCCCCTCCTTGTCCCAGGGCAGCTACCGTTTGTGGGGCTGCCAGAATGCTGGTTCACAGCAGTTAGATTCATATAATATCCCTTTAAGGACAGACCCTGGCAGCCCCGGCCAACAAAAAGCAGAAATATGGGTCCGATCTCGTGTCGGAGATGCAGGAACTAGAAAGAGGGAAGTTATTAATTTCAATTTTAAAAAGATTAAAAACATCAATTACAAAAACATAAAATTGATACAGTTCTAGCCCAATGCTGGGCCACATTGTCACCTTTAAAGCCCTACCTGGTCTGAGGCCAGGTTACTTGAAGGACTGTCTTTTCCCAGTGATTTATCCGCCCGAGCCCCCAGATCAGGGAAGCAGGGGATGTTAGGGGTCCCCCTCTTTTAAGGAAGTCCCATCTGGCAGGGACCAAGAAGAAGGGCCTTCTCCGTGGTGGCTCCCTCCCTGGGAAACATCATCCCTGCAGAGATAATTTTACACTCTTTCAAAGGGCCCCGAAGATGGGGGTTTTGCCAGTGGGCCTGGGGACTCCAGAATGAGATTGTAAGCCACCCAGAGTTATCTTGTGGTAGGATGGGTGGACATCTACACATTCTCTTGCTCTCTCGTTCTCTTGCTCTCTCACTATCATCTATCTATAATCCCTCTCTCTCTCTCTCTCTCTCTCTCTCTCTCTCTCTCTCTCTCTCTCTCTCTCTCTCTCTTATATCTGTCTAGCTGTCTATCAACCTCTATCTAGCTATCATCTATCTATAATCTCTCTCATAACTCTCTTTATCTATCTATCTATCTATCTATCATCTATCTATCTATCTATCTATCTATCTATCTATCTATCTATCTATCTATCTATCTATCATCTCTCTCTCTCTCTCTCCTGTCTGTCTGTCTGTCTAGCCATCCATCCATCCATCCATCCATCCATCCATCTATCTTATCTCTTTCACTAATCTCTCTCGCTTTCTCTCTCTCTCATCTCTCTCTCTCTCTCTTTAGCTATCGTCTATCTGTCTATATTCTCTCCTTCCTATCTGTCTGCCTATCTCTCTCTCTCTCTCTCTTTATCTAGCTATCTATCTAGCTATATCTACATATCATCTCTCTCCTGTGTCTGTCTGTCTGTCTGTGTCTATCTATCTATCTATCTATCTATCTATCTATCTATCTATCTATCTATCATTTCTTTCGCTCTAAACTTTCTTTCTTTCTACCTACCTACCTACCTATCATCTATCATAGTTCTTGTATTTGGGCTTTGATTTCTGTAAGCTGGCTGGAGTCACCCCGAGTGAGTTGGGTGGACATGTACATTTTCTTAATTAAAAAAAAAATGAATAGTAATATCGAAAACAAGGTTTTTAAAACAGAAGAGAAAAACGGGCTTTTCAAACGTGGAGAAAACAGCCTCTCAACGATCGACTGGCGGCGATAGCCGAAACCCCCTCAGTCTTTGCATCTGCAGCGTGGGTATCCTTGCTCGGATGCCCCAGGACTTAAAACTGCTTTTGATTCACCGCCCCAATTCTTCGGGCTGACGCTCCCTTCTCCTCTCCCTTCCAATCCCAGCTGGAGATTTTCCACTTAGTGATGTACAGAAATTACCAGCGGAAGAACGACATGGACGAGCCTCCCCCGTTTGACTACGGCTCCGGCGACGATGACGGGAAAAGCGAGAAAAGGAAGAACAAGGATCCTCTCTATGCGGAGATGGAAGAGAACTACTACCGTTACGGCATCAAGCCGGACTGGATGACTATCCATCGGGTGATAAACCACAGGTCACTTTCCATTGGGCTGGAAGCCTCGGCATATTTTTATTTTACATATATTTTTAATCCCACCTTTATTACTTTATAATTAATTCAAGGTGGAGAATATACATCATATTCCTTTCTCCTCCTATTTTCCCCACAACAACAACAACAACCCTGTGAGGTCGGTTCAGTTGAGAGAGAACAAATAGCCCCACATCACCCAATCGGTTTTCATGCCTAAGGTAGGACTAGAACTCACCGTCTCCTGGTGATTGGCCCAAAGTCACCCAGCTGGTTTCATACTTAAGGTGGGACTAGAACTCACCGTCTCTTGGTGATTGGCCCAAAGTCACCCATCTGGTTTCATACTTAAGATGGGACTAGAACTCACCGTCTCCTGGTGATTGGCCCAAAGTCACCCAGCTTCTTTCATGCTTAAGGTGGGACTAGAACTCACCGTCTCCTGGTGATTGGCCCAAAGTCACCCAGCTGGTTTCATACTTAAGGTGGCACTAGAACTCACCGTCTCCTGGTGATTGGCCCAAAGTCACCCAGCTGGTTTCATACTTAAGGTGGGACTAGAACTCTCCATCTCCTGGTGACTTCAAAGTCATCCAGCCAGCTTTCAGGCCTAAAGCGGAACTAGAACTCACTGTCTCCTGGTGATTCACTCACTTAACCATCTTTCATGGTTAAGGTGAGACTAGAACTCACTGTCTCCTAGTGATTGGCTCAAAGTCACCCAGCCATCTTTCTTGCCTAAGGCAGGACTAGAATTCACTCTTCTGATTTCTACCCTGGTGCCTTTCCCTACTGTCTGAATTCTTAGATTCTTATACAGTGGTATTTTTTGTTTGTTTGTTTGTTGCATTCAGACTCACAGTGAGAAGCTATGTGCGTGTTAATTTCCTGATTCCATCAGCTGGCTTTGCAATCTTAACAACCGTTAACTAATACGGAGCACAATCAATAAACCCCTGATACGTTTGCTCGCGTTCTGCTCTTCTCCCTCCCTGACCACCTCCTGTATTGACCTTACGCAGCATTGACAAAAAGGGCATCTATCACTACCTGGTGAAGTGGCGGGACCTCTCCTACGACCAGTCTACCTGGGAAGAGGACGAAATGGCCATCCCTGAATACGAGTACCACAAGCAGGCCTACTGGTCACACAGGTAAGGGGGCCGTCATAGGGGAGAACGTAAGACCTGGAGACTAAAAAACGTAGGAAGGACGGTTGCAGGAATTGGGTATGGCCAGTCTAGAGAAAAGAAGGACTGTTGTGGCCGACCCCTCTCAGCAGCCGAATCAGGAGGAGGAGGAGGAGGAGGTGTGGGAGTGAGGGCCAGCATCAAGGCAACCTGGGGGAAGAGGGAATGGAGCTGGCAGAGAGAGAGGTGGAGCCTGGGCCGTCCATCAACCCTCAGATGGAGAGTCAACAGCCGCCAGGTCTGGAGCAGTGGTGGGTTCCTCCCGGTTCGGTCCGGTTCGGCCGAGCCGGTAGCGGTGACGATATGACGTCACTGAACCGGTTCTTCTCCCCCCCCGCCCTCCCCCCCCCACGTTATTCTTACCTTTTATTTGGCCCCACCCCCAATCTATTGCTGCCTCCTGAATCCCAGCTGATGACTAGAGGGAAAAAAACTGTTTAAACTCTTGCCGGGGGGCTTCAAAGGGCCGCCCTACAGCTGATCAGTGTTAAAAGCAAACAAATGAGTCGGGTCGTAAGTGCGAGGACTGGTCGTAAGTGCGAGGACCTTCCAGAAATGACTCTGACCAGCTAGCCACGCCCACCTAGTCACATGACTTCCAAGCCACACCCACAAAATAAGCCACACCCACAGAACCAGTAGTAAAAAAAATTTAGAACCCACCCCTGGTCTGGAGGTAGCTGATGAGGAAGAGGAGGAGGAACAGCTGGGTCCAGTGCCTGATGCGTGGATGCGAAGGAGGCAGAGGAGAGGAGAGCAGTGGAAATCTATGGGCCGGTCCTCGGGACGGAAGAGCCACTGCTGCTAGGGAAGCCCCACCCTAGCTCTGGGGATAAAAGGCAGGGGGCGGAGATGAATAGATGTAACAGACAACTATTCATCTCCCTGCCGGACTGACTTGATAGCCTGCGGTGAGAGAGAGAGAAACTTTTTGCCGGGGCTGCCGGCGTTCCTAATTAAAGGAATCTTTGACTTCACTTCAGAGGGTTTGTCGTGTTTGGGGAGTCGGGTCAGAACGAGGACTAGAGGGGACATGATAGCAGGATTCCAGCATTTGAGGGGCTGTCCCAAAGAAGAGGAAGGGATCAAATTATTCTCCAAAGCCCCTGAAGGCAGGAGAAGAAGCAACGCATGGAAACTCATCAAGGAGAGAAGCAACCTAGAACTAAGGAGGAATTTCTTAACAATGAGAACAATTAATCAGTGGAACAGCTTGCCACCAGAAGTTGCGGGTGCTCCATCCCTGGAGCCTTTTAAGAAGAGATTGAACAACCATTTGTCTGGAATGGTATAGGTCAGGATCTCCTGCTTGAGCAGGGGGTTGGACTAGAGGGCCTCCAAGGTCCCTTCCAGCTGAATTCTGATTGTGGTAGGCAGTGGCTGCTCCAGATCTTCAGGGATCAGGGAAGGGAAGAGGAGAGGAGAGGAGAGGAGAAGAGAAGAAAAGAAAAGAGAAGAGAAAAGAAAAGAAAAGAAAAGAGAAGAAGAATTGATTAGGGTAGGGTAGGGTAGGGTAGGGTAGGATAGGATAGGAGAAGCATTTGTCTGAAATGGTAGAAGGTTTCCTACTTGAGCAAGGGGTTGGACTAGAACGGTGATGGCGAACCTATGGCACGTAGCCATATCAGTGGGCACGCGAGCGCAGCTCCGGCGCGCATCCACACACCGTCCAGCTGATTTTCGGGTCTTCTGGGCCCACCAGAAGTAGGGAAACAGGCTGTTTCCTGCATCCGGAGGGCCTGAGGGAGTGGGAAGGCCCGTTCTTCTTTCTCACCTGGCTCCAGGGCCTCTCTAGGAGTCTGGGGAGGGCGAAAACAGCCTTCCCCACCCCTCCCGGAGGTCTTCCGGAGGCCGAAAACAGCCCGTTTGACAACTTCGGCCTCCGGGGGCGTGGGGAAGGTTGTTTTCGCCCTCCCCAGACTCCTAGGGAGGCCCTGGAGGCTGGAGACAGCAAAAAAAATGGGACTTGCGGTCCCACCGGAAGTTGTCAAATGGGCCATTTTTCGGCCTCTGGAGGACCTCTGGGCGGGGTGGGGAAGGCTGTTTTCGCCCTCCCCAGACTCCTAGGGAGGCCCCGGAGCCAGGTGAGAAAGAAAAACGGGCCTACCGGGCCATCGGGTGCTGTCGCATGCACAGGGGCGGGGCACATAGAATTATGGGTGTGGGCACACGTAACACCCCCTCCGCCCCCCCCCTCCTGGCACGCGATGGCAAAAAGGTTACAGCCTAGATTACAGACGTGTCAGCTCAGCCGTGTGGGCCTTAGTAGCAGCTTCTGGAGGGGACCTAAGATTGTCTTTTTTCTCTCTTCCTTAACCAGAGAACTAATTATGGGGGAAGATCCTGCCCAGCCTAGGAAGTACAAGAAAAAAAAGAAGGAATTGGCCTCGGACGACCCGCCGACTTCCCCCACCAACGATGTGAGTGATCCCTGTGCTATACCTCAGGGCGTACGGGTAGTCCTCGCCTTAACGACCACAATTGAGCCCAACATTCCTGCTGTTAAAACGAGATTTTGCGAAGTGGCTTTTGCCCCCTTTTTTTAACGACCTTCCTTGCCAGTGCTGTTTAAGCGAATCCCTGCAGTTGTTAAGTGAGTCGCATGGTCATTAAAGTGAATCCCACGGTCGTTAAAGTGAATCCAGCTCCCCCTCCCCTTGACTTTCCTCATCCGAAGGTCGCCAAAGGGGATCCACGTGATCCTGATCACAAATACGAGTCCTTTGCCAAGTGTCTGAATTTGGATCGCGCGACCGTGAGGAGGAGGAGGAGGCAACGGTCGTTAAGTGTGAAAGTCATTTTTTCCCCCCCAGGGCCGTTGTACCTTTGAACGGTCACTAAACAAACGGCTGTAGGTCGAGGACTGTCTGTCGTTGGCAAATAAGGGAACGGAGCACGGCTCTCTGGGTTCAGGTTTTTAAGTAGGCTCACCTGGTGGTACCCTTTTCCTCTCCGTAGCCCACGGTGAAGTACGAAAGCCAGCCGCGCTTCGTCACGTCGACCGGGGGAACGCTGCACATGTATCAGCTGGAAGGCCTGAACTGGCTGCGCTTCTCCTGGGCGCAAAGTACGGACACCATCCTGGCCGACGAGATGGGCCTCGGGAAGACCATCCAGACCATCGTCTTTCTCTACTCGCTCTACAGGGAGGTAAGGTGGGAGAGACACCACCCCACCCACCCCAGTTCCGTGGCCTCGAGCACCTTGGGCCTCGCTTAACGGCAGGAGGACAATTGGCTTGACATAGAAAGGGGCTTGGCTTCTCTCTCTCCCCCTTTCTTTCTCTCCCTCTTTCTCCCTTTCATCTCTTTCTCACTCTCTCTCTCTCTCTCTTTCTCGCTCATCTCTTTTTATCTGTCTCGCTTATCTCTCATCTCTTTCTCTCTTTCTCATCACTTTCTCATCTCTTTCTTTTATCTCTTTCTCTCTCTTTCTCTCTCATCTCTTTTTCATCTGTCTCTCGCTCATCTCTCTTTCATCTCTTTCTCTCTTTCTTGTCACTTTCTCATCTCTTTCTTTTGCTCATCTCTTTATCTTATCTCTTTCTCACTCTTTCTCTCTCTTGTCTCTTTCTCTCACTCATCTCTTTTTCATTTCTGTCTCTCATCTCTTTCTCTCGTTCGCTCATCTCTTTCTCTTATCTTTCTCTCTCTGTTTCTCTCTCATTCCCTTAGTTTCTCTCTCTCTTTCTTTTTCCCTTTCTCTCTCTCTCTCTCTTTCTCTTGTCTTTCTCGCTCATCTCTTTTTCATCTCTGTCTCTCGTCTTTCTCTCGTTCACTCATCTCTCATCTCTGTCTTTCTCGTCTCTCACTCATCTCTCTTTCATTTTTCTCTCGTCTCTTTCTCTTTCACTCATCTCTTTCTCTTATCTTTCTCTCTCTCTTTCTCATTCCCTTAGTTTCTCTCTTTCTTTCTCCCCTTCTCTCTCTCTCATTCTCTCAGTCTCTTTCTTGTCACTTTCTCACTCATCTCTCTTTTCATCTTTCTCATCTCTTTCTCACTCTCTCTTGTCTCTTTCTCGCTCATCTCTTTTTCATCTCTGTCTCTCGTCTCTTTCTCGTTCATTCATCTCTCTTTCATCTCTGTCTCTTTCTCGTCTTTTTTTTTCAGTCATCTCTCTTTTTCATTTTTCTCTCGTCTCTTTCTCTCTTTCGCTCATCTCTTTCTCTTATCTCTCTCCCTCTCTGTTTCTTTCTCTCTCATTCCCTTAGTTTCTCTGTCTCTCTCTTTCTTTCTCCCCTTCTCTCTCTCTCATTCTCTCTCTGTCTCTCTCTCTCTTTCTCGCACACACACACACTCTGAGACGCGGAGTTCATTGGGAGCCCAGCTTGTGCCCCTTCCTGCCCTTCCCTCTTTCATTCCCCCTCTTCTTTTTTCCTACGCTTGTGTTGGAAGAAATATACATTTGGGTTCAGTTCCAAGTAGGGAGAAAGAAGATTGGAAACATGGAGGCCGCTTCGAAAGACGGTTTTTAATGGAGAAACAGAAAACCACCAAGGACCTGTGATTCTGGGCCGCTGACCACACGGTTTGATTAAGCCCGTGAATTTTTATACAGTTCGTTCTACAGTATTTTGTAATTTAGAGGTTTGTTTTGTGTATTTTGTTATTTGATTTTACAGTCGTGGCCAAAATCGTGGAAACCCTTTTGGGGAAAGTGTATTTTTGAGGTTTGATGGATAATAACATCACTTTTTTTTTGGAGTTTCAAGATAATCCTATTCCACTGCTGGAATGGGCTGGGAATAGCCCAGACCTTCGTAACCCAATGGAAAATCTACGGAGCCAACTCAAGAAACCAGTTAGTCAGAAGCGACCCAGCGATAAAACCCAGTTAATAGAAGCCATCATTCAATCTTGGTTTCACCTGATAACAGCTGCAGAGCTAAAAGACTGGGTTCACTCCATGGGAAGACGGTATAAGGCCGTCATTCATGCTAAAGGATACCTAACAAAGTATTAACTGACATGGGGATCATTTTTGTATATCTTGTTTTTTCTATGGTGATCATTTTTGTATCTCATTTTTTCTACGTGTTTCACTTTTCTTCTTTATACTGTAACTGCTATTCTAATAGCAAACGCTTCATAAGAGTTACTGCATTACATTCTTGATTAAATTCTCTTTCCATTCATATTGTCAGCACTTCAAGCTGCATTTACTCTAGTGCTGACATAAGAAGGAGAAGCGGAGGCGTCTGGAAAGGGACGTTTGACTTTTCACCTACTTATTTTCCCTGGAGATAATATCCCCTAGGAGATGGGATGGGAGGGGGGAAATTCCTTTGAGCTGGAGCGGTAGATTAGGGGTAGAGTGACTTGGAAGATGGCCAATGAGTGCAGAGGAGTTGGGAAAGGAAAGGGAGGGTTTGGGGTCTGGAAGTCAGTGTTGGCTACGATGGAGTCGGAGTTAGAATGACGTGCTTAATAAGTGGGAGTTTTTCATCAAAGACTTTGTTTGAAATGCAATTTATTTGAGATGACCTCGAAACCTGACACATATATAATTTTATGGTACTACTCCCCCAAAAAAGTGGTTGTCAGACTTCGATGCTATCTCAAAATAAATGAATTTCCAAACTGCCAATCTTTAAGGAAATCTTTTCTTTAATTGAGCACAGCCACCGGATCACGACTCGATGCGGACAAGACTGACCTTTTGCCCCCCCAATCCCTCCCTTTCCGATCCCCAAATCTCTGCTTCTCATTGGCTATCTTCCAAGTCATTCTCCAGACTTCTTGTCTCGTCATTTCCCAGGAATGTCCCCCCCCCTCCTCATTTCCACGACAACCCGGCTTCAAAGGGATTTAGCAGGCAAAAGTTCAGAGCTTATCTCTCTCTCTCTCCTCTGCTCTCTGTGCCAGCGTTGAAGCGCTGACAGCTCGTTTTAAGAAAATACACTTTTCCCAAACGGTTTCCACAACTTCGGCCACTACTCTAATGAGTTTGTCTCGCAATGAGTCGGGAGTTTTTTAAAATCTTGTTTAACAAATGTCATTAATCCTAGATGCCGACTTTGAATGGATTTACCAAATCTGCATTTCTAAAAAAAGTTGGCCTCTTCGTTCTTACTTGGGGCAGGGAGCTTGAGTTCTCTTGAGTTTCTGTCTTTTAGAATACATGTGTCGCCTTTAGGGAAAATATAATATTCTGCCTTTTTTTTAAAAAAAAAAAATATTTCCTAGAAATATTTCTATTCTTCTAGGAGAGGGGCGGGTGCTAACTTTCTTCACTTGATTAATGCCCAGTTCCCCCTGGTAGCCCCTGCCGTTTTTTGGCCTCCTCCGAGTGGCATCTCAGTTGTTCAGATTCTTCCTGCCTGCCTGAGCCAGATCTGGAGAGGCCTTTGAACGCCTCCTTTGCCCGCCCCCCCTCTTGATTTCTCTGGCCAGAACAGCCATGGGGTGTGTGTGTATGTGTGAGTGTGTTTGTCAGCACACTTGGCTGAAGCCCTTGAGCTGCAGGCTCTTTTTACAAAGATGAAAAGGGGGTGGATGGGAGATTTCTCTCTCTCTCTATCTCTCTCTACCTCCCTCCCTCTCTCTCTCTCTTTCTCTCTGCTGGAGCCCAGCAGCTGATAACTTCTAACAGCTCCAGCTGCTATTTTCTTTAGCCCGAGATCAACGGGCTTTGCCACTCCTCCTTCCTCTCTAGAGAGAAAAGGACCAGACTCTCAAGGAAAAGACAAAAAAAAAAAAATCACATTTGCCCGAAAGAAGTATTGGCTCCCCCCCACCTCTCCCTTAGCCAGCTCACGGCCGCCTGGGGGGTGGCGCGGAACAAAAACCAGCTTTGCGGACCTCCAGGAATCATCTTTTCTCAGAGGGGGATGCGCCTGGCTGCACCACGCGCCCGTGTCTCCGTTGCCGTGCGGCGCAGGGGTTTCCTTCCCCCCCCTCCCGTCTCCGCCGTGATCGCTAACATCTGTGCGATGTCGATTTGGAAGTCTTTGCTCCCCCCCCCTCCCCGGCGGTGGTGTACTTGTCCCCGTGTTTTTGGCTGAACAAGACCCGAATCCTGGGTAGGGAGCGCGTGCAAGTGTCAGCTGCAGGGCAAAGGGTCCTTTTGCGAACAGCTGTTCTTTCCGTGTGAACAGCTGGCGGTGTGTCAGTGATCCCAGTGGAGCCACAGGGGGAAACCTGGCTCCTTCTGGCTTTTTTTTTTTTTTTTTCAATTTTTATTTTTATGAATGGAGCTCTCTTGGCGTAACCAGGCTCCCGGGAGCCAAAAAAGCGAACAGGCTGAGAATGGCTGCGTGGAGCTGAGTGAGGGAAGGGGGGGGGGGGGGGGGGGGGGACACGTGGTCACGTTACCCATATAAATCGGCAAGTTTATTCCTTTATATATGTCAATCTTTTGAACCGCCCGTTTCTCTCAACAGAGGGGCTCTGGGTGATGCCCAGTTGAATCCATACGATCATCGTTCATCATTCTAGACCATGGTCTTAACGTTAGTTTACTTTATTGTCGTTGCACCTCGTACAACGAAATTAAATGCTATCTTCAGTCTACTTCATACATAAGGTAAAGGTAAAAGTTCCCCTCGCACATACGTGCTAGTCGTTCCCGACTCTAGGGGACGGTGCTCATCTCCGTTTCAAAGCCGAAGAGCCGGCGCTGTCCGGAGACGTCTCCGTGGTCATGTGGCCGGCGTGACTCAACGCCAAAGGCACACGGAACGCTGTTCCCTTCCCACCAAAGGTGGTCCCTATTTTTTCCACTTGCATTTTTTTTTACGTGCTTTCGAACTGCTAGGTTGGCAGAAGCTGGGACAAATCACGGGAGCTCACCCCGTGACGCGGCGCTAGGGATTCGAACCGCCAAACTGCCGACCTTTCGATCGAGAAGCTCGGCGTCTTAGCCACTGAGCCACCGCGTCCCCTCGCTTTTCCCCCTTGATGTACATCATACCTTAAGAAAACTGTAAAAAATAAAACACAAACACACCTCCTTCTCATTCTGTGCAACTGAATTGAAAAACCCCTGATATTGCATTAGTCTTGCACTATAAAGTAGAATTCAATCTAGGGGTTGAAGCTGTTTTTCAGCCTATTTGTCCTTGTTTTAATTGTCCTGTACCGTCTGCCAGATGGTAATAGTTCAAAAAAAAAAAGATGAGATGGATCTTTAAGGATGTTTTGAACTTTCTTAAGGCAGCGGGAGCTATAAAGCTCTTCCAAAGAGGGGAGGGGGGGCAACCGATCCGTCTCTCTCAGGTTTCGCATGTTTCCAACCCATACGGTCCTGAGCTTCCTTTGGCCAATGGGGTCCCGCCCCACTTGCCGATGGCGTCGATCCATCTGGTTTGAGGTCTCTTTTTGTGGGGTGCTTTTGATCAAGTGGGATCCGTCCGTTCAGTACAATAAAGCCCAGGGCCGCCGTGGTGGCGCGGTGGTTAGAATGCGGTCTTGCAGGCTAATTCTGCCCGACTGTTTGCAGTTCGATCCTGACCGGCTCAAGGTTGACTCAGCTTTCCGTCCTTCCTTCCGAGGTCGGTACAATGAGGAGCCAGATTGTTGGGAGGCGGGGGGCTGACTCTGCAAACTGCTTAGAGAGGGCTGTAAAAGTACTGTGAAGCGGCATTGCTTGTGATAGGGAGGGAGGGAGGAAGGAAAAGAAGGAAGGAAGGAAGAAGAGAAGGAAAGGACGGTAAGGGGAAGGAAGGAAGTCATCTTGATGCAGTGGTTAGAGTGCAGTATTGCAGGCTAATTCTTCCCGCTGCCAGGAGTTCAATCCTGACCGGCTGAAGGTTGACTCATCCTTCCATCCTTCCGAGGTCGGTAAAATGAGGACCCAGATTGTTGGGGGGCAATATGCTGATTCTGTAAACGGCTTAGAGTGGGCTGGAAAGCACTGTGAAGTGGTATACAATACTAAGTGCTATTGCTGTGAAAACTGGAATAATACAACACATTGTTACAATTGTAATATTGTAATACTGGTAGTCCTCGACTTACGGCCACAATTGAGCCCCACGTTTCTGCTGTTAAATGAGACCTTTGTGAAGTGAGTTTTGCCCCATTTTACGACCTTCCTTGCCACAGTTGTTGTATGAATCACATCAATGGTTAAGTGGATCTGGCTTCCCCAAGGGCTTTGCTTATCAGACGGTCGCAAAAAAGGGAGATCGCGTGACCCCGGGGGGGGTGCTGCAACCGTCATAAATATGAGTCATTTGGCGATCATCTGAAATTTGATCTGGTGATAACGGAATTGCCACAATGATTGTAAGTGTGGAAAACGGTAATCGCTCACTTTTTCCCCCCCAATCCCGTTGTCCCTCCGAACGGTCACTAAACGAAGTGTTGTACATCGAGGACTGTTTGTAGTTCATCCCTGATCTGCTGTCCTCCCTTTTTTTTGTCCCCACCCCTATCCAGGGCCACACCAAGGGGCCCTTCCTGGTCAGCGCCCCTCTCTCCACCATCATCAACTGGGAACGGGAGTTTCAGATGTGGGCGCCGAATTTCTACGTGGTGACCTACACGGGAGACAAAGACAGCCGTTCGATCATCCGGGAGAACGAGTTTTCCTTCGAGGACAACGCCATCAAAGGCGGGAAGAAAGCCTTCAAAATGAAGGCAAGTGAAGGAGAATAAATATATATATATATATATATATATATATATATATATATATATATATATATATACACTAGCTGGTAACCTAACCCTAACCGCACAGAAGCCTCCCCTATCCTATCGCCTTCTCTCCCTCAGCCTTGCCCCACAGAAGCCTCCCCTATCCTATCCCCTTCTCTCCCTCAGCCTTGCCCCACAGAAGCCTCCCCTATCCTATCCCCTGCTTGCTGCTGTGAAAGTAAAACTGAAAGTGAAACTCCTCTCCTCTGCTTGTGTTTTTGCATTTGGAACAGATTTCTTTTCAGGTGGGGAGGGGGAGTAGAACTCCTTAGGATCAGAGCGTGTTAATCATAATATAGGGAACACTAATGCTCTGATGGTCATTTCGAAAAATCCTTTCTTAGTGAGCACCTAGAAGCCAAGAGGAACATATGTGGGAAATTTCAAGTTTGTAGGCTTTACGGTTCCGGAGATTTTGTGATGATGTGTGAGTGGTATTTTGCTTTTATATATAAATATATAGATAGATACATATTTTCCTGATCTACTCTGGTGCCTGCTGGGGGAATTTGATTGACTGTCGCCTTGATCTGAGGCTTGAAAGGCTCCCGTGTTGAGTCCTTCACCCGGGAGGCATTCCTATTGGGCCGCCTTGACGGCTTTCCTTAAAACAGGCAACAGGTGTCAACTTTGAAACGACAACAGGACTCGGCACTTTCGCCCAAGAAATAGGCCTCTGTTCAACCGTGACAGACCTGAATTATCGATTTGTGCTGATTTTCTGGGCCAGCAACAGTCCTAGGCAACCTGGCTCAACGGAAATAAGCCCTTAATTGAGGTCACATCTATTTCTTCTTCCCCTCCCCTCCTCTTATTGAGAGGAGCGTGAAACATTTTAAGCTTATTCTGGGTTTATTTATTTAGTTTCAAGCTTATTTATTTATGTGGATCCCGCCTTTGTTAGTTTTGACACGGAAGTCCTTCCTCCTACTTTCCGGTGAGGTGTGTTAGACTGAGAGAGGGGGACCGGCCCAAAGTCACCCAGCTGGGTTTCATGCTTAAGACTGGACTAGAACTCACCGTCTCCTGGTGATTGGCCCAAAGTCATCCAGCAGCTTTCATGCCTAAGGCAGAACTAGAACTCACCGTCTCCTGGTGATTGGCCCAAAGTCACCCAACTGCTTTCATGCCTAAGGCAGAACTAGAACTCACCGTCTCCTGGTGATTGGCTCAAAGTCGCCCAGCTGGCTTTCATGACTAGAACTCCCAGTCTCCCACACTTTCTAGTCTGGTGCCTTAACCGGTAGACCGTGATGGCGAACCTATGGCACGCGTGCCACAGGTGGCATGCAGAGCCATGTTGCCTGGCACGCCAGCTCAGCTCTGGCGCGCATGTGCGCGCTGGCCAGCTGATTTTCGGGTCTTCTGAGCCCACCAGAAGTAGGGAAACAGGCTGTTTCTTGCCTCCGGAGGGCCTGGGTGGGGTGGGGTGGGGAAGGCCCATTTTTCTTTCTCACCTGGCTCCAGATCTTCTCTATACATCTGGGGAGGGCGCAAACAGCCTTCCCCAACCATTCGGAGGCCCGAAATCGCTCGTTTCCCAACCTCCGGTTGTATAGGAAGTGACATTTTTTGATGTCCCCAGCCTCCAGAGACTCCTAGCCAGTGCCAGGAGTGGGGGAAGGGGTCGCATGCGCGGTGGGGGGCACATAGAATTATGGGTGTGGGAACACGCGCATGTGTGAACCTCCCATGCCCCCACTCCTGGCACGCGACGGCAAAAAGGTTAGCCATCACTGCCCTAGATCAAACTGGCTCTCCGAGGAAGGTTTGTGAAACGTATATTAAATACTTGAGTTTGACCTCATGCTGAGGGGAGGGACGGTCACTACCGCCGTACATCCTAAACAGGAACATGGAACGCATTGTAATTTAACTCCAGCTGTGTGCAATTAGTAAGTTCAAATCTCGCCAAGCTCAAGGTTGACTCAGCCTTCCATCCTTTCTAAGGTAGGTAAATTGAGGACCCAGTTTGTGGGGGGCAATAAGCTGACTTTGTATAAATATACAAAAGGATGAAGGCTATTGCTTAACGCACTGTAAGCCGCCCTGAGTCTCCGGAGAAGGGCGGCATATAAATCAAATTAAAAACAAACAAAACAAAACTGGTGACAGCGTCCTTCTTCTCTCCCTTTCTCCCCTCAGAGAGAAGCTCAGGTCAAGTTTCACGTCCTCCTGACTTCCTACGAGCTGGTCACCATTGACCAGGCTGCCTTGGCCTCCATCCGGTGGGCCTGCCTCGTGGTCGATGAAGCTCACCGGCTCAAAAATAACCAGTCCAAGGTGAGAAGGACGGCAGCGGTGGGTTTGCGGTGGGCCTGGAGCTGGGGAAGGAACAGGAGGGGAAAGCCGGCTGCGGGCCCGTTTGATCGCTCTCCGCTCTCGATTTCAGTTTTTCAGGGTGCTCAACGGTTACAAGATCGACCACAAGCTGCTTCTGACGGGGACGCCGTTACAGAACAACCTGGAGGAGCTCTTCCACCTGCTGAACTTCCTCACACCGGAGAGATTCAAGTACGTTCCCCCCCTTTGCTTTCGAACGCGGGATAGACCCGGAAGCATTCCAGTCTTGGGGGTGGGTCTTTCGATGGGCCCGTTTTTGCTCATCCTGGCTCTCCCATTTCCTTTAAATCTTTTTTTTTTTTCAAAAGAGTTTTTATTTTTATTTCTCATAAACACATTTACATGTACAGTCATTTATCCATCATTTGTCATTCATCTTATCTTTTAACTTTCATTTTTCGTTTTTACTTTTTCGGGGCTGCTCTTTTACCCTTTACCTTTACTCCAACCTTTCTTCTTCTCCTCCCCTTCTCTTCCTTCCTCTTTCTCCTACTTTATTCGTTCTTCCTCTCCTTCTCTTTCCTACTTCCCCTTCTCTTCCCCCACTCCTCTCTTTTTCCCCCCTTCTAACCTTCTCTTCTACTCCTCTTTCCCCTCCCTTTTTTTCCTCTCCTTTTCCCTTTCTTCTTTCTCCTCTTCTCTCCTCTCTTTTCCCTTCCTCTCTTTCCTGTTGTTTCCCTTTTCAGTTTACTCTAGAGTGGTATTCGAGCAGCCCAGATTTTCTATTTATCTCTATTCTCATTTCAATTTCTTATTTGATTAATATTTATTTCTATTTCATCATTTGTGTACATTTTTATAATAATCTCACTTTTCCCCTTTTACCTCCCCTCCTCCCCTTTCTCCTTTTACTAGGCATCATCTGGGTTTCTATTTTTCTGATTATTTTCTTTTCCCTATCTATTTTATCTCTGTACCCTCATTCATATTTCCTTTCTAACCAATCGTAAAATTTATTCCATATCCTTTAAATCTAACATCAAGGATCGTGTGGCTTTCCTTCTTGGGATCCAGCAGTCAAATCAACTTGGAAGCAGTGAGATTTCTCTGCCTTCACCTCGCCTCTCTTAGAGATGGCCCGTTACTTCCCCTCTCTTAATTACCAGACAATCCTCGGGGTTAGATCACGGGTGTCCAAACTTGGCAACTTTTAAAACTTGTGGACTTCCACTCCCAGAATTCCCTAGGAAAAATGATGCCATTTCAGACAAAATAGTTGTCCAATCTCTTCTTCAAAACCTCCAGTGATGATCGAGCACCCACAACTTCTGGTGGCAAGTTGTTCCACTGGTTAATTGTTCTCGCTGTAGGGAAATTTCTCCTGAATTCCACGTTGCTTCTTTTCTCGATGAGTTTCCATCCGTTGCTTCTTGTCCTGCCTTCGGGTGCTTTGGAGAATTAAGTTTTTGGGGGGCAGCCCCTCAAATATTGGGACACTGCTATCAGGTCACCCCAAGTCCTTCCTTCCATTAGACTAGGCATACCCAATTCCTGCAACTGTTCTTCATATGTTAGAATAGAACAACAGAGTTGGAAGGGACCTTGGAGGTCTTCTAGTCCAACCCCCTGCTTAGGCAGGAAACCCTCCACCACTACAGAACAAATGGTTATCCAACATCTTCTTAAAAACTTCCAGTGTTGGAGAATTCACAACTTCTGGAGTCAAGTTGTTCCACTGATTAATTGTCGTAACTTTCAGGAAATTTCTCCTTAGTTCTAGAAGCAAATTGAATTCGATGCAGCGTTGAGGCCAGGACGATGGGCTACCAGCTCCAAGGATGGTCTTCATATCTTTTATCCTCTGGGCCTCTAATCATCTTTGTTGCTCTTCTCTGCACTCTTTCCAGAGTCTTTTTTTTATATTCTGGCGACTTGGGAGTTGAAGTCCACAAATCTTTAAAAAGTTGCCAAGGTTGGACACTCTTGCCTTCTAGAGGAAGCAGGGTTATTCTTGCTGACAAGATACCTTTGCAACACCTGAAGGTTGACCTACAAGAGCCCATCTCCTTGGTTGTATCACCTGGGTATGTGTGCAATGCCCAGGTGACTTGGGGAAAACTTAAAACAAAGTTTTGTGTCTGGCAAAATGGCTCCCTCTCCTGGCCAGATTGGGTATTGCCAACATTCTGTTTATTTCCCCCATTCTCTTGCGTTGCATTGTTGATTTATTTTTATTTATTTTATTTATTTATTTATCAAATTTCTATATCGCCCTACTCCCGGAGGACTCAGGGCGGTGAACAGCCAAGATAAAATACAGATAATACAAATATTAAAAGTCCCTTAAAAATTATTAAATATTTTGGCCGAAACACAGATTAAAACACCCAATTTATAAAATCAAACGAATTAAAAATTTAAAAGAGGAGAGTTAGGCCAGGCCAATTTATTTGAATTTATATACCGCCCTTCTCCCGAAGGACTCAGGGCGGTGTACAGCCAGAATAAGAACACACAAATAGAAAATTTAATAACCAATTTAAAATATATATTAAACAATATGGCCCGTAACTAATTAAAAACCCATTTTTAAGCCTCAAGAATTAAAAATTAAAGATTAAAAGTTAAAAGAATTAGAATTAGGCCAGCCCGGCTTGTTGGAACAAAAGAGTCTTGAGGGCACGGCGGAAGGTGCGTAGGTCCGGGATCCTCCGAATCTCCTCTGATTCCATCCTCTGATGGTCCTTCAGATCCTTTTTTTTTGTCTTAGAAGATTTAGGGATGACTCCTCCGTTCCTACCAATGGAGGCATTGCAGCAACTTGCTTAACAACCAGGGCAAAAATGAAAAAAAAAAAAGAAAGATGGATCTTGATAGATTCGAACTCTGGGCCCTATCTTAAGAAAATGAAATTCAACGTAGAGAAAAGTCAAGAGCCTGGTAGTACAGTGGTCTAAAGCACCCTGTTATTAAGACCAGCTGCCTGCAATTACTGCAGGTTCGAATCTCGCCAGGCTCAAGGTTGACTCAGCCTTCCATCCTTTCTAAGGTAGGTGAAATGAGGACCCAGTTTGTGGAGGCAATAAGCTGACTTTGTATAAATATACAAAAGGATGAAGGCTATTGCTTAACGCATTGTAAGCCGCCCTGAGTCTCCGGAGAAGGGCGGCATATAAATCAAAAAATTTTTTTTAAAAAACAGTCTTACACTTAGGCAAGAAAAACCCAAAGTACACAGAGAGACTAGGGGAAACCAGGCTTAATAGCAGTCACTGTGAGAGGGATCTTGGAGTCTTAGTGGGCAACCAGCTAAATATGAGCCAGGAATGTCCGGTGGCAGCCAAAAAAGCCAATGCAATCCTAAATTGCATCAACAGAGGGGTACAATCAGGATCAAGGGAGGTACTAATACCACTCTACAAAGCCTTAGTAAGACCACACCTAGAGTCCTGCATCCAGTTTTGGTTACCACACTATAAAAAAAAGATGTTGAAACTCTGGAAAGAGTGCAGAGAAGAGCAAAAAAGAGGATGAGTTGGCTGGAGGCTAAAACATATGAAGAACGGTTGCAGGAACTGGGCCTGGCTAGTCTAGTGAAGAGAAGAGAAGGACCAGGGGAGACATGAGAGCAGCATTCCAATATTTGGGGGGCTGCCCCAGAGAGGAGGAAGGGGGTCAAGCTGTTTTCCAAAACACCCCAAGGCCAGACAAGGAATAATGGATGGAAACTGACCAAAGAGAGATTCAATCTGGAAATAAGGAGGAATTTTATGACAGTGAGAACCATCAACCGATGGAACAGAAGTTGCCTTCAGAAGTTGTGGGAGCTTCATCCCTGGAGGCTTTAGAGAAGAGACTAGACTGCCCTCTGTCAGAAATGATGTAGGTTCTCCTGCTTGGATGGGAGGGGGGCTGGATTAGATGACCTACAAGGTCCCTTCCCAACTCAGTTAATCTGTTAAAAAAGTAAAATTCAGGCATTCAGGCAAAATTCAACCAAAGGGAATTCCCATCCCTATTGGGGTCATAAATCAAGGGCTAACCGTACACAGGCCGTCCTCGAGTAAACGACCACGACGGAGCCCAAAATTCATGTTGCCCACTGAAACGATCAGAAAAAAAGTGAGCTTTGCCCCATTTCACGAACTTCCTTGCCACCGAAACTGGGAAGCAAATCCCTGCAGTCGTTCAATGAGTAACACGGTTGTTAAGCGAATCTGGCTTTTCCCCCATGGACTTCGCTCGTCGAGAGGTCGCAAAAGGGGATCACGTGATCCCCCGGTCATAACTACGAGTCAGTTACCAAGCATCTAAATTTTCATCCCGTGATTGCTACAACGCTCGTAAGCGTGAAAAATGATCCTATGTCGCTTTTTTCCCCCCCCCAGTGCCGTTGTAACTTTCAGCGGTCACTCAGTGAACCGTCGTAAGTCGAGGACTTACCCATGTATGGCATTTGATTGTGTTTGTGTGTTTCTCTCTCTCCCTCAGCAACCTGGAAGGATTCCTGGAGGAATTTGCGGACATCTCCAAGGAGGATCAAATTAAGAAACTCCATGACCTCCTGGGTCCTCACATGTTGCGTCGCCTCAAAGCCGACGTCTTCAAAAACATGCCGGCCAAGACGGAGCTGATCGTTCGGGTGGAGCTCAGCCCCATGCAGAAGTACGGGGCAGCGTTTGGAGGGTGGAGGGGGGGCAAAGGAGCCTCAAGTCGGGATTCAAGTGTCAGGGGTTCCAAGTAATTTAGTGTTGGGTTGGGTTTTTTTAGGTCTCCGTGGAGATGATGATTCTCCATCATCTCCAGCTCACGGTTGTCCCAAATGTCCTTTTTAAATTTTTTAATTTATTTTTTCCCCTTTCAAAAGGCACCTGGACATCCTTGTGTTTTGTTTTGTTCTTTTTCTTTTTCTTTTTCTTTGAAAATGTTTCGCTTCTCGCCCGAGAAGCTTCTTCGGTTCTAGTTCAGGGACTGGAAAAGTGAAAAACGTTTTCAAAGAAGAAAAACTCAAGAAAGCCCAGATGTTGGTGGGGGGGCGGGGAGAGCACATTTGGGGTTTCCGAGGTGGGTAAAATGAGGACCCAGATTGTTGGGGGCAATATGCTATTTAGTATACTGTCTTTGGTGTAAGCCGCCCAGAGTCCTCGGAGAGTGGGCGGCATAGAAATAATAATAATAATAATAATAATAATAATAATAATAGTAATAGTAATAGTAATAGTAATAGTAATAGTAATAGCAACCCTTCATCAACACGATTGCATTACATTCTTCATTAAATTATCTTTCCATTGATATAGAAGTTTATAGTATTACTAAAACAAAAGTGGTGTTATTAGCTAGCTTAAGAAAATACAACTTTTCCCAAAAGGTTTCCACAATTTTGGGCCACTACTGTAGGTTATCGCATCTTTTCTTATGTTAGTCTCCTTCCCTTCTTAATTTCCCCCCCCCAACCTTCCTTTTTCCCAAATCAGGAAATACTATAAATACATCTTGACTCGCAACTTTGAAGCCCTGAACTCCCGCGGCGGCGGAAACCAAGTCTCCTTGCTCAACATCATGATGGACTTGAAGAAATGCTGCAATCACCCCTACCTCTTCCCCGTCGCTGCCATGGTAGGTTTGCCAGCCCAGTGGCTGCCAGAGGGTTGGTGACAGGAATGTCCTCTGGCGGCAGGAATTGTCGTCTTCAGCTTAGGGTTCCCTTCTGCTTATAACAAGAGGGACGCCGTGGCTCAGTGGCTAAGACATTGAGCTTCTCGATTGAAAGGTCGGCAGTTCAGCGGTTCGAATCCCTAGCGCCGCGTCACGGGGTGAGCTCCCGTGACTTGTCCCAGCTTCCGCCAACCTAGCAGTTCGAAACCCCGTAAAAAATGCAAGTAGAAAAAATAGGGACCACCTTTGGTGGGAAGGAAACAGCGTTCCGTGCGCCTTCGGCGTTGAGTCACGCCGGCCACATGACCACGGAGACGTCTTCGGACAGCGCTGGCTCTTCGGCTTTGAAACGGAGATGAGCAGCGCCCTCTAGAGTCGGGAACGACTAGCGCATAGCGCAGATATATATATATCTTTGTATCATTATTCTCATTTATCATTTATTCAACAATTTTGGAATTATCATTCCAAAATAATAATAATAATATTTTCACATATTATTGTCCCGGCAGGAATCTCCCAAGCTGCCAAGCGGTGCCTATGAAGGGGGGGCTCTCATCAAGGCCTCTGGGAAACTGATGCTTCTGCAGAAGATGCTGAGGAAACTGAAGGAGCAGGGCCACCGAGTGCTGATCTTCTCCCAGGTAACGAAAATGGGCTCAGGTACGGATTGCCTAACAGGCTCACTGGTGCAGTAGAATGCCGAGATCCTCGAAAGAAGGCAGAGAAGAAGGATCAGGGGCGACATGACATAACAGCAGGGTTCCCGTATCAGGGCTTTGCCAACAATTAACCGGTGGAACTACTTGCCTCCAGAGGCTGTGGGTGTGTTTCATCACTGGAGGGTTTTAAGAAGAGGTTGGATAACCATTTGTCTGAAGTGGTGTAGGGTCTCATGCCTAAGCGGGGGGTTGGACTGGAAGACCTCCAAGGTCCCTTCCAACTCTTGTTATTCTATTCTATTCCATTCCATTCCATTCCATTCCATTCCATTCCATGTTTTCTATTCTATTCTATTCTATTCTATTCTATTCTACCCGACCCTACCCTACCCTACCCTACCCTACCCTACCCTACCCTACCCTACCCTATTCTATTCTATTCTATTCTATTCTATTCTATTCTATTCTATTCTATTCTATTCTATTCTATTCTATTCTATTCTATTCTTTCTTATTCTATTCGTATTCCAGAGCCTTTCTAGGAGCCTGGGGAGGGCGAAAACGGCCTTCCCTACCACCCCCGGAGACACTCTGGAGGCAGGAAACGGCCGATTTTCTGACTCCCAGTCCCACGCGTGCCATAGGTTCGCCCTCACGGGTATTCCTGCTTGAACAGAGGGTTGGAATAGAAGACCTCTAGGGTCCCTTCCAGCACCTATGATTCTGTATGTTTTAGAGTCATTTAGATATCTCGGATTATTTTATTTTTAAGATGAGGCTAAAACATATACATTTTCCCCACTACTTAGTCCTTCAACTGATTTTTAATAAGGGGATCTAGATTTACTGGATCTTGGTGAGGTGGCCTTCCGAAGGGAGGGGCCCCTTTTCTTATTTCTCCACCAGTTGACATCTTTTGAACTGTTTTGCCTTTGTGCAAAGTGACAGATTGCTGCAAAGGACCACGTTCGTTTACATCGTTGGCGTAATGTCCTTATGCGGCCGATGTCTGCGTCTCATTCGTGGGGGCATTGTTGTGGAAAGGATGCAAAGAGTCTCCAGTTGAAGGGACTTTGATGAACGAGTCAGCCTTGTCCCAAATTATTCTGTCCCCCTTCCCCACACAGGCAAACACACAACCAGGCACGCCTGCCAAAATTTTATTAAGCAATCAGACTAGAAACCCTTGCAGATAAGAGTTTTGGCAGTAAACTGCGAAATGCCTGCCAAGTCAGTTTTCACTCACAGTCAGCAAGAGAGAGTTTCTCCTCAGTCTGGTTCAGTAGCAAAAAGTAATCCACGAAGCAAGAGTTCGCCAAGGCCCAATCCAAATATGCACAAGCCAGATTTCAGGTAACGTGATGTGACTCTCAGGTTTTTAACTTCGACCGTCACAAAGCCTGAAGAGCAATCCCACCCGCTTTTATTCCTTGTGGGGTGTGGCTCTGTGACTCAGCTCAATCTCTGGCCCTCCCACGCCTCTTTCGTTGCTGCGCACGCTTCTCCCTCCGACGCTGCCTGGGATCAAGCCAGGATTCATCATCCTCGCTCCCTATCTGTTGTTGTTCCGATATGCTTTCCTCCTGGCATATCCCAGGCTGTTCCTCTTGGCCTTCGGATGGAACCTGAGGCATTGCCTGAGAGGAGGGTCCTGGAGAGGGAGGCCTTGTCAGTTCCTCCCCATCACCTTCTGAGTCCTCTTCCTCTGTTCGGACAGGCTCAGGAGTTGTGGTCACAACACAACTGGTCCATTAGAGCAGGATTAATTATACTAGCTCTGCTATTTGAAATTTACATCTCCTGTACAATGTACATACACGTTTTGTAATATACAAAGTCTATGTTCTGTCCCCAACCACACACACACACACACCAACAGACGTTCAAGAGTTAAAGACCAAACCAGCCGGCAAAATCCTTTTCCTTATGATAACGGAACTTGGCAACAACCTAGTGGCTGCCTGCCAAGAGTTTATTATTTATAAAGAGGAGAGATAACTTCTCCCCGCTTCTGGTACATCAAAAGAAACAGCTCAATAATTACGGAGTTAATCAAGTCCAGAGATAATCCAGCAAAGTCTATAGCAAAAAGTCCGGCAATGCAGAATGGCGTGGAAGCTTTCAGCTTTGTTCATCACAAGGTTTGACTGGCCACCACGCTCCCTTTTATCCCCTGTCGGGTGTGGTCCAGTGACTCAGCCTAATCTCGGGCACGCCTTTTCTTCTGTTGCACGTGCTTATCTCTGCGACGCTGGCGTGGATCCAGCCAAGACTCATTACCCTCATCACTGTCCACCTGTGGTTGCGTGGGCGTGCTTGGCCCCGGCCCTATCTCTTGCCCTTCGGCGGACACCGAAGGCATTGCCAGAGAGGAGGGTCCTGGAGAGGGAGGCCTTGCCAACTCCTCTCCTTCGCTCTCGGAGTCCTCTCCTGCCGATGACACAGGCTCCGGTAATGGAGCCACAACAGGCTAAATAAGCACATGTCTGTCATTTCTCACTGGGGTCTCAGAGAGGAGTTAGGGAGTCCGGTGAAATATCAATATTTCAGCGTTGAACTGTGGGGGTCCTTGGTGCCCTCTGAGCTGGGTGGTTTTTTTGCAGGCGTTTCATGACCCAACTAGGTAACACCATCAGTGCTACAAGGGAGCAGGGTTTGCTCTCTGTTTATATACCAGGGGGTTGCTCTGCCAGTGTTGGTGTTAGTGGTGGGACGTTTGTCGGGGAACCACGAAGACCAGCACTCGTACCAACACTGTCTATTATAAACAGAGTGCAAACCCTGCTCCTCCTTCCTTCTTGCACCGATGGCGTTCCCTAGTTGGGTCCCGAAACGTCTACAAGAAAACTACCAAGCTCAGAGAGGAACTGAGAATTGCTTCTTAAAGGTGCCGGGCCTTAACCCCATCTATAAGCCGGCTTAGTTCTTTTTTTCTATGGTGGCTTATTTTTTCCCCCCCCCTTTTCCACCACCTGCTGAATATTTTCCTATTGGTGGACAGTTTCTCCTTTCGGTTTCTCCATGGCAACTTGGGTCTAGGAGGTGATGGAACTCGTCTCGGAGTGAGGTTGTCAGGAGGAGACCAAGAGGGGCGACCCTGTCAAGTTCATTATCTCCGGAAACGGACTCTCTGTATCCTGTCAAGGGGCTGTCAGCCCGACTGACGGACGTTTCCTTCTGACCTGCCTTCCTGGGAGAACGGCAGGGAAACGTTCCTCTCGCTCCTTCCAGCATTTTGCAATTTATCCAGAAATACGTTTCGGTTTAGCCTGAAGTGGCCAAGTCGACTCTGAATTGCCCTCGAGCGTATTCATGCTCCGTTCCGATTAATCTTGGCTTTTTCGCTTCTCGCACCGGTTAAGTGGTTTTAAGTGGGTGCTTATTCTGGCTTCTTTTGCATTGTTAACGGATGATGACAGCAGGTGGATTATGGGTTATAACGCCTTGGTAAGGCCACACTAGGGACGTGGTGGCTCAGTGGCTAAGACGCTGAGCTTGTGGATTGGAAGGTCGGCAGTTCAGCGGTTCGAATCCCTAGCGCCGCGTCACGGGATGAGCTCCCGTCACTTGTCCCAGCTTCTGCCAACCTAGCCATTCGAAACCCCGTAAAAAATGCAAGTAGAAAGAATAGGGACCACCTTTGGTGGGAAGGGAACAGCGTTCCGTGCACTTTTGGCATTGAATCATTTTATTTATTTATTTATTTATTTTATTAAATTTCTATACCGCTCTTCTCCCGAAGGACTCAGGGCGGTGAACAGCCAGAAGATAAAACACAGGAAATACAAAATCTAGAATAAATTAAAACAAATTAAATAATTTAGGCTGAATTTTAAAATACCCCCATAATTAAACAGATTAAAAATTTATGTTTAAAATTTAAATTTAAAAGAGGAGATGATTTAGGCCAGGCCAGCTTGATGAAATAAAAACGTTTTAAGCGCGCGACGGAAGGTGCGAAGATCCGGGATCCTCCGTATCTCCGGGGGGAGCTCGTTCCAGATGGTAGGTGCCCCCACAGAGAAGGCTCTCCCCCTGGGGGCCACCAGCCGACATTGTTTGGCCGACGGCACCCGGAGGAGCCCCTCTCTATGGGAGCGTACTGGCCGGTGGGAGGCTATTGGTGGTAGCAGGCGGTCCCGTAGATAACTAGGTCCTAAGCCATGGAGCGCTTTAAAGGTAGTAACCAAAACCTTGAAGCGCACTCGGAAGACCACCGGGAGCCAGTGCAGCTCGCGCAGGAGAGGTGTTACATGGGACCTCCATGTTGCTCCCATAACCACCCGCGCGGCCGCACTCTGCGCCAGTTGGAGCCTCCGAGTGCACCTCAAGGGGAGCCCCATGTAGAGAGCGTTACAATAGTCCAGACGAGAGGTGACGAGGGCATGAGTGACTGTGTGTAGAATCATGCCGGCCACATGACCACGGAGACGTCTTCGGACAGCACTGGCTCTTGGGCTTTGAAACGGAGATGAGCACCGCCCCCTAGAGTCAGGAATGACTAGCGCAGATGTGCGAGGGGAACCTTTATCTTTACCTTAAGGCCACACTTGGAATCCTGCATCCAGCTTTGGTCGCCACGATGTAAAAAAGAGGTTGAGACTCTAGAAAAAAGAGTGCAGAGAAGAGCAACAAAGATGATTAGGGAACTGGAGGCTAATCCAGTTCATACGAAGAACGGTTGCAGGAATTGGGTATGTCTAGTTTGATGAAAAGAAGGACCAGGGGTGACACGATAGCAGTCTTCCAATATTTGAGGGGCCGCCCCAAAGAAGAGGGGAGTCAAATTATTCTCCAGGGCACCTGAAGGCAGGACAAGAAGCAACCGATGGAAACTCATGAAGGAGGGAATCCAAGCTAGAATTAAGGAGGGATTTCCTAAAAGTGAGAAAAATCAATCGGTGGAATGACTTGCCACCAGAAGTTGTGGTTGGTCCAACACTGGAGATTTTTAAGAAGAGGCTGGACAGCCCCTTGTCTGAAACGGTCTAGGGGTCTCCTGCTCTAGCAGGGGGTTGGACTAGAAGACCTCTAAGATCCCTTCCAAGTCTGTTATACTGTTACTGCATGTTTCCTGGAAAACTTGCTGCCTGTTTAATGAAGTCATGGCAAGAGCGTAAAAAAGCTTTTGAAACGGCAGTTACAGGTAATTCACAACTTACGACCAGGATTTCTTGTTTGCTAAGTGAGACAACTGTTAAAGTTGAGTTGCCCGATTTTACGGTCTTTTTTTTTTTTGGCCATCGTTCGGTTGCTAAGCGCCTGAATTTTAATCACGTGACTATGGGGATGTTGCAACGGTTGTAAGTGTGAAAAATGGCCGTGAGTCCCTTTTTTTCAGAGGCTTTGCAACTTCATTTTTTTTTAAAATTTTTTTTTTTTATTAAATTTCCAAAGATTAAAATACACAGTACAAAAAGAAACATAATACACAAAAAAATAAAGCAAGAAAAAAAAACACACACAGAAAACAAAAGATATAAACAACCAAAAAATAAACATATCCAAAAGCCTTCTCTGTGGGGGCACCTGACCTATGGAACAGGATACCCCCAGGGATACGAATGATCCCAGATCTCCCTACTTTCCGTCGTGCCTTGAAGACTTTTCTATTTCACCAAGCTGGACTGGCATAAATTTTCAGTTTATCTAAATTCTATGCTGAGGATCTTAATTGATGAGCCAAATCGGTTTAATTATTTTAAATTATTTTTATTTCACATTATATGTATGTTATTCTGACTGTTCACTGCCCTGAGTCCTTCAGGAGAAGGGCGGTATAAAAATAAAATAAAATAAAATTAAATAAATAAATAAAATTTCAATACTAGTAACAACTTTCCTGCATCGGTATCTCTAATCTATTTAGCCTCTTGACACAAATTCTACTTCTAAATATTTCTGTCTTAAACGTACATCTTTATTTAAATGATCTTGATTTCTATTTACAATTCGATCTTGTAACAAAAACATCCCTTAAATTTTATGTTTACTCTCCAGCCAGGAATACCATTTATTCCATATTAAATAGAACTCGGTGTCCTCCCTCTCCTTCATTTCCATAGATAATCTGTCCATCTCTGCACATTCGTATATTTGTTTTACTATGATTTGATCTGGAGGGGTGTCTGGTTGTTTCCAATTTTGTGCTATCACAGTTCAACTTGCCATTAGTATGTGTAATATGATATATTGTATACTTTTCTGCATTTTCCCTTCCAGAATACCCAGGAGAAACAATTCCAACTTTCTTTCTATCTTCTGCCTTGTTATTTCATCCAGCCATTTTTTAATCTTGCCCCAAAATTTCCTAATCTTAGGACAGGTCCACCACATGTGGTAGAATGTCCCTTGTTTGTGTCCACACCTCCAACAATTCGGAGACCTATTCGAGAATATTCGAGACAGCCTTCTGCCACTAAGAGTCTCCCGCCGGCCAGTACGCTCCCACAGAGAGGGGCTCCTCGGGGTGCCGTCGGTCAAACAGTGTCGGCTGGCGGCCCCCAGGGGGAGAGCCTTCTCTGTGGGAGCACCTGCCCTATGGAACAAATTGCCCCCGGAGATAAGGAGGATTCCAGATCTACGCACCTTCCGCCGCGCCCTCAAGACCTTTCTATTCCAACAAGCCGGGCTGGCCTAACTCTTTTAATTGAGTAATTTAGTTCTTAATTTGATTTTAAATTGGGGTGTTTTAATTGTCGTGGGCCAATACTATTTAATTTGTTTTAAACTATTTTTAAATTTTGTATTCTATGTATTTTTATCTTCGGCTGTTCACCGCCCTGAGTCCTTTGGGAGAAGGGCAGTATATAAATTTGAACAATAAATAAATAAATAAACATCCTGGCCAATAAAACAGCTCTTGCAACTTTGAACAGTCACTAAACGGGCTGTCGTCGGTGGAGCACCAACGGTGCTTTCGTTTTTCTTGAGGCGTTTCGACTTTTCGAGCACCTAACGGGCCGTATTATCATGACTGAGGTTTCATCCTGCCTTTTTCCCCTTCTGACTTGAGTCTTGCTGACGGTGTGTGTGTGTGTGTGTTTTTTTTCCCCAGATGACCAAAATGCTGGACCTGCTTGAGGACTTCCTCGACTACGAGGGCTACAAGTATGAACGGATAGATGGTGGCATTACCGGAGCTTTGCGCCAAGAAGCCATAGATAGGTTTAATGGTGAGTACAAGGGCCGCGCGAGGTGATTACCTGTGTTTTCCCCCTAAAATAAGATTGGGTCTTATTTTCTTTTGGGCCCCAAAATAAGCACTAGGGCCGTGATGGCGAACCTGTGGCACACAGGTGGCACGCGTTGTAAGGAATTCGCAGAGTAACCCTTGAATAGCAAGGGTGTGTACATGAAAGCGATTGAGAGTAGGTACGAATAAACACAGTCAACACACAGATACACTGAGTTGTGTTTACTTTCAGGAAATAGTAAGGCACAGTCCAATAAACAGTCCAGGTCATACACATATAAAGCAGGAGATAGCAAAACGACAGTCCAGGGATAATCCAATAACAAAGTCTTCTTACCAGTTGTTGTAGTCATTCACAATAAACAGTTCTTCTGGATTTGCAAGTAGCCATATCATTGGACACAAGCTCAGCTTCAGAGTCTGCATCTGTTGATAGCCCAGGCTCAGGCAACAGAGCCACAACAACAGGGTCGACTTGGGAGTAAAGCCACACCTTGGAGTCAATCGGCCCTCCCTTAGGAAACAAAAGAGGAGCGAACGGGGAGGGGGCTTTTGCAGTAAACCATTCGTTCGGTCGTTTCAAGAGTGAAAAGTTCTGTTTGTGACTCTGTGCCAAGTTTGGCCTTGTACTGCGTTTGGAAACAAGTTACATGGCAGCTTGCCAAGCGAGATAAGGTCTGTGTTGATAAATAGTCCTCCGAAAGACTGTTTGGACAGGCCTTGCTGACTGTGAATGAAAGGAATTCACAGTCGTGTAAATAAAAGAGGTTTTGCCGGGACCAACGCTCTGCTTCCTACTTTTTAAGGGAGCCTAGGTCAGAACAGGCGGCGGCGCATGTTCTTAAGTAGGCTTATTTTGGGGGTAGGGCTTAGGCGCACAAGTAAAAAAAGGATGCTAGGGCTTATTTTCTGGATAGGTCTTATTTTCAGGGAAACAGGGTTATAGGGAGACAGGAGCTGGGCTTTCTGTTTTGAAATTCCTCTCCCTTTCTTGGCTGCGGCAAGCAAGCAGTTGCCGGCCAGGATTTTCCAACAGCGTTCCAAATATTCAATATTCCACTTTTTTTGCAGCGGGGCAGGGGGTTGTTTCTCATGCCAATTATTCACCCAACCTTTCCTTTCCAGCCCCGGGAGCCCAGCAGTTCTGCTTCTTGCTCTCGACGCGAGCTGGCGGCTTAGGGATCAATTTGGCCACGGCAGACACGGTGATCATTTTTGATTCCGACTGGAATCCCCACAACGATATCCAGGTGAGTGTCCTTCTGTCAGGAAGACACATCAAACAGAGGATGAGTGATCCTTTAGGGGATCTGCCCAAAGCTTCTTCCCTCTGGTCCGTCACAAGGAGCCCTGCTCATCCAAAGCAAGCCCTTCTATGCATTGCTTTTTATTTAGGATTAGGATTACGAGATGCGCGTAGGTGTCGTAAACCTAGGTTGGACGCTCTCTCTGCCTTTCATCGATGTCTTTTGGCAGCCCCAGATATATTGGAAATC